AGGCAAGCTGAAGTGCCCAGAGCCTTGGGTCAAGCCATCGGCATCGTGATTAGCTGACGGGTACCCCGTCATCTGAACCGGAAGGACCTTGCACGCCTGCGTTGCGTGCATCAGGTGCTTATTATCTAGTACCCAGCCCCAGCTTGCACGATCCCTCCATTCCAACGTGACCCCCATGTCCTGAGGGTTAAAGACGGAGGCAAAGAATCCTGAATATTTCTTGTATAGATACAACCTGGGAAGGGAAAAGCATCCACACATCCACCACCTTAGCACCTAGCACCTAGCACACACTCTCTCCATACTCGTCGTGTCGTACTACATGTCTGGCCCTCGCCCGTTGGGTCTAAACCCGTTGGCCTGATTGGTATCCAGCAAGTAACCTGAAGCACAAACTCGAAGGAGAGGGGGGGTACAGACGCAAAAATAAGAAAAACAAGGGAAACGGGAGGGAAAGAGAGCAAATTTCCAATTCTCTACTACTAGAAAATTTGGCCACCCCACCAACAAAATAACATAATAATACTCGCTGACTCGTTCGCATCTGGTCACCCTCCTCAACTTTATTTGCCTGGGAGAGTTACCACCTACCTACCTAGGCATTCAAACAAAATACTCTCAAATTCTCGACGCAACGATTTCCTTGCTGTATCGCACCTGCGAGGTGCAAGTATATTAATTTGTGAACTCAACTCTGTCGGTAACCTCACCGGGGTCCTCCGTGGTGCATACGCAGCCAGCCCGAGCCGGCAAGCCGAGGAAGCTAGCCAACAGCCTACCCGAAGCGTCCCACCCTCTCGGGACAAGCCACCGTTGCATTTGAGGGATTAGAAGCTGGCTACGCCAAACCAGTCAGTAGCCCTTGAAACTCGTCTTGATTTCGGTTACTTTCCATTTCTCTGTTTCCGCTAGGTCAGGTGGCTTTGGATTTCATAGTCGATTTAGCCAAAAGGATAGTCAGTTTATTAGTTAGGATTGTGATTACGGCTAGCGATATTTCCAGAATTCGAATTCAACGCAACCGCCCGCTCCCTTGTGGCGCTTCAAACTATATTTATTTATTTAGTTGGTATCGTACGTCACCGTCAAACGGACCGAGCGAAAGGATCGGTTCGGCCAGCAGCCTCTTCGACGCCGCAGTACTGCCACGAGGGCGGCACAGCAAAACCTTGATCAACCTGTTCATCCAAAAATAAAAACCATAAAAAAAAAGGAAAGGAAAAAACAGAAAGGAGAGAAGGAGAGAATCCTTTTAATCTTGTCTCTAAGATCTAACCATAGCGCTTCGTCGCAAGGATCCCGCCAAGTACAACAAGATATAACAAATATTACAACGCAGCTTTGCCACCGTTGATGATTTTTGGTCTTGTTCTACTTACGTCCCCCCTACTAGGCCATTTTAGCAGACCACGTTTTCTTACAATTCACTGTAAGTAGTACCATACCTACACAAAACATAAAACACAAAACACAAAACATATACATAACCAACACACCTACACTCATATTACTCAGCCATTACTTCCTTTCTATAATTCGGTTACTTACGTAGGTACATATAGGTAGGGGTATGCAATCCTAAGTTTGGAGGTTGGAAGAGAAGGCGTTAAGAATTGTGATTGAAAAAGAAAAGAAAAAAGGAGGAAGAAAATACAGTACCTACCTAGATTTACATACTACTAGGTAGGGAAGTGATACTGCCATTGAGGTGCTAAAAGGTACCCATCATTACCCAGAGCTCAGCAGTCTATTTCAGGTTCTCTAAGCCTAAAAAAGTTGCTGGTAGCTTTTAGAGGCACACGTTTTAGAGAAAGGGCAGTCATTCAACCGAATCAGATTGGGTCTTCCTTCTGCGGCCCGTTCTGCGACCTGTTAGGTCTAACCATCCTGACGGGATTCCGCCATTGCCCATTAGGCGCGAAGTACAAGCCTAAACTTGACTTGATTGGAACAAAAAAAAATTACCCTTTCTTAAGAAGAGGAAGGAAAGGGGTGAAAAAAAAAGAACATTTGAAGAAGGAGTCAATCCATCTCCAAATTTAATGTTCCAAGGTTCCAATTGGAACATCAAACTGCAACTTCCAATAAATAATAACACCTGTGCGACACTACTAGTTATCATCAACATTTGAAGTAGCCCTGGGTCTGGTCCAGTTTGGCCTGGTACAATCAATACATACATCCTACCTACTTTACTACCTACACCTTTTTTAACACTACGCACTACACACTACACACATTACATATTACATATTACATATTACACATTACACATTGCACTGGCATACATACACTACCACTACTACAATTACCACTACCGCTACAATTACAACGACTGACCTTACTTTGCCTCCTTCTTTTTCAACATTTGATACACACTTTGCATTTCGTCGCATCACTTCCTATCCACTACCTGCCTTACCGATTCGATAAACCCGGGGTTGCGACCGTGCGAAGGTTTCCCCATCCTCTCTAGATCATCCATCTGCAGATTTTTATCTGAATTAGGTTTGGGTTTTATTTATTTTTTTCGGTGGACACAGAACACAGACACAGTCACAGACGCACATACTCACTCACTCTCTCTCGCTCGCTCATTTTCACTCTCAACTCATACGCGCGCCGCACACACACGCACACACACACATATACACACACACGCATACAGACGTACATATACATTTACATATACACACACACATATACTTACATACATACGCACATACATACACACATCGCACCCATCCCATCCCCATCCCATTCTATCCTATCCTGCCTGCCTGTCTCCCCTACCTAATTCTTACCGTCTAACCATCGTTGGCATCATTGGCATCATTGACATCTTACCAACACAAACAACACTTGGACCACAGCTGGATGAAACTATCCTCTGTTAGTGAGATCATCCAGCCGCCCTAACCACTCCGCAAGGTAGAATCGACTCTAACTCGGCTAGCCAACTCAATAGCTTGTCTTTGGGAAGTTGTTTTTTTTTAGTCGCCAGCTCATCCGCACCGCACGTACACCCTCCACCCGCAGTAGTTCATCCGCCGTCGGTTCCGTTCTTTTTGATTTTGGTCCACCGGTGCGAATCACCGCTCTCATTAGTCCACCCCAGAAGAAACGCTGCGGCTAGGGGGATCCATTAGCTTCTACGTAGTCAAGTCATTCGAGAAGAAGGAAAAAAAAAGGTACGTTATACGTTTCAATATTACCATTGAAGCTAGGCCTCTCCGGTCGAGTTCCACCTGAAACCTGCCTGCCCTGTGCTGTTCTGTGCTGTTCTGTTCTGTCTTTGCCCTGCGCCGGGCGCGGCAACGAGCGCTCGAATCAACTTACACGGAAAACTGTCTACATACATGCCTCAACCATATTGGGGCATTTTCCAACATACTACATACTACATTAGTACCTACGCTACATCTCCACAGACCCAGTCTCCCGTTTTCTTATCCTCGTTCCTATTCTCATCTCCATCTCCATATCCATCACCATCATCCTTGCAATTGCGGGTCCCTCTAGCTCCGCTTTGGAGAACTGCGTCTGCAATAGCTGTTGTCGTCTAGGTATTGTCCCTGGCCCCAACGCCTACATGTACCTTTTTTCCCTTTGAAAAAAAACCTATATGTACCTATATGTATGTACATGTAGGTAGTAGGTATGCATGTAGGCAGGCAGCTGGGTAGGTCAAAGGCCTCGGCATACATACATAACCCATAACATATACATATACCTGCCTATACATAACATACCTACTTACATCCGCCTATCCATCTATCCATCCATCCATCTACATCACGTAAACGCACATACACTCAAACATCCACACGCGCACGTACACACGCATGCAAAACTACGTACGACCTGACATTATACTACCGCCGGGTCCCTCAGTTACAACCAATGTTGCCATTTTGGACTCTCTACCCACTAAATGCCTTGTCTTTTTTCTACATTTTCCCACCTCACCTAACTAAATTTGGTTTATCAGACGTCAAACCCATTTTTTGCCGTTCTTAAACTTCCGCCGTTGGTTGGTTGGTTTTGCCTTGACTGGCTTTGCTCACCTGCCTTCCGTTTTTTTTTTTTTTTTTTTTTTTTTTTTTTTTTTTCGTTTTACCTTTTATTCTATTTTTTGCCTCCGTCTTTCTCTATCCCCCTCTTACTGCATAAGTTCTTAACAGGTCAGTTATGTTGTTTAATATCGGGGATTCCGTTCTGTACTATTAAAAGCTCGTGTTATCTATGTTGTATGGTTTAATGAAATTCATGGGTTCATGGGTTCATGGGTTTCGATGGGTTTTCATGGGGTTCAATAGGCGAGCATAAATCGTCATTTGAACATTTGATATTCTTGCTTTCCCAAGTTAAACTTGCCTGGTTATTATTCCATTCCGTTTTAAAGGGTTTTAGAGGGTCTTAAAAAGGCCCCCCCCCTTCTTCATACCTTGCGGTCCATTCGCTGACTAAAAACGTCTCTAACTATATTTTTACACCACTGAACTAGTTTCTTATTTTTACTCGGGCCCATTCCAGCTAACGGGCTAGCTAGGCTTTTCCAAGATTCTCTTGCAGCAGCCCCCAAGGGTCATCCCGCAATCAAATTATAGAAGAGTCAGGCCCCTTCTCTTCCTCCCGGCACTACAGACTCCGCCGTCTGTATTGTTAAGGTTCTTCCCCTTCCACCACGGTTGGCCCCGCCATTCCACCTAAATTTCTTTGCGCCGCCGTTCTTAACGCTGCAATCGTCTGTCTTCCTTTTCTCTCTCTCTCCCACATACACACACACCCATACCCATACATACCCCCATATACCCATACCTCTCTTCATCCTCTACTCACACTCCTATTTCTAATTCCTTTCCTCTCTTTCCTTCTCCATTTCTCTCACATACACACACACTCTCTCCCTGACGTTCTTGCATCTTCTTCTACTCGATTAGACCCAATTCTGGGAAAGCTGTTCTAATATCATATTACCAGCTTTACAGTTGCATGGTATCGGCCAGCTTCGGGTAGCCCTTAAAACGAGACTACACTTGTGTAAGCGAGTCTGACAATTTCGGACTCACAAACCGACCACGGCTTAAATTCGCATTTACCCAAGGGATCTTAAGAACTGATATGGTCATCGTCTACTGTGCTATTTTGTTTCGGAAATTGTACATTTGAAGGAGGAAACAGGAAACATTGAGTCATCTGGGTATACTGGTTTCAAAACGCTCGCCGCCTCAGATCCACTTAAAAACCACTTGTCTTCCGGTTGCTACGTGGTTGACTGCTTTCATACTTCATCCTGGCGCCCTTCAGCGTCTTGTTAACGTAGCATGGCAGAAGATCGTCGGAATAAAGGACAACCACCAAGACACGATCAGAGCGAGGAATCTCAATATCTACCAGTTTCTGGTGAAGAAGACGACCGCGCAAGAGGCATTCCTTATCATCCACGGCCCCAAATGGCGACGGGTACAGTAAGATTACCCTCTATCCAAGATCCCCACGGCTCCTATAGCCCGTCGGGTGGTAGGGGTTGGGACCCCAGAGCTGGTGGCTACGGCCCTTCACCTGGCTCTACAAATGGGTACCCTCCTCCTAGCAGCGCACACGCGCCTCCAGCTGCCGGCTACTCTCCCCCTAGTGGTGGTAACGCCTATCCTCCTCCAGGCTCTAACCATCCCTCATATCTTCCACCCGTCCACGCTGCGGCTCCGGACCCCAGAGCCAACTATCCGCCAGACCCGAGAGCATCTCCGTACTTCTCAAGCTACAGCGCTCCGAGCCCGTACGAATTTACGTATAGGGATCGCGGGACCCCAGGAGCTTATCATCCTGATTATGCAAGAGGAGGTGCTGGAGGGGCTGCGGTGATGCAGCAATCTGCTCCCCGGCAGCGAACTTCTATTGCTTGCAGATATTGTAGAAGAAGAAAGGTGAGGCCTAATTACATGAACTGACTGATCTTAATAATTCGTAGATGGACTAATAGAAAATTAGATTCGTTGCAGTGGGTATCAAAATTCGCCCGGAGGGAAATGTACCAACTGCATTAAGATGAACCAGGAATGCGTTTTCCAGCCTGTTTCTTCATCTTCATCCACTGCATTCGTTCCCGTTTCCGCTTTGCCCAACGGTATACCGCCGGGAACACAGCTATTTGGAGCATACGGACAGCCACTAGCAGGCCCATCAAACCTTGCTCCTGCTGGCGGCTATCCGGCTTCGAATCCGCAATACGATCAGCCGCTTCCATCACCAACTGGTTCTTATGGATCTTTTTCGGAGGAGAGGGTTGAATCAGGTAGACGGAGGCCAAGACCTGCAGATGACGAGCACGGAGTGCGCCTACCACCTCCGAGCAATTTTCCCGACGACAATCCCCGAAGACGATCTCCCTCGTCTAGCGGTAGTCCAAGCCATCTACAACCGTTATCGCAACTGCAATCCCAGCCAGCTCCGTATGCTGGGTATGATAATAGGACACCACCGCCTAGGGGAAGCCCATCCGGCCCTTCAGTGGGGGCAAGCACCGCGAGTTCTGTGATGAGCCTCGAAAACATTATGGGCTCTGGCCCTTCGCCTAGCAATGATATTGACCAAAAGATGCTGGGACGTTTGAATCGACGGACATAGGAAAAGGTATAATGATGATCTGCATAAGCCACTGGGTGGCGAGGGGATTATTATACCCATGAGAAACATGGAAAGGACGTGCTAGGAAGGAACTGGGGAAATAGATGGCTGCTGGCGGCTTATTCGAATGGCTAAATCGGCTACACTGGCGACGAGTTTTCGGTGTTATAATCGATTTCCAATTCACGAGTCGGCGGCATTTTAAGCGGCATTTGCATTTAAGAAGGGGCGGCGGCGGCGGCGGCGGCGGCTACGAGTCGAAGGCGTAAAATGCGGTCATCTACGGACGATTACGAAAATATGAGAACGGGCGGCCCGGAAGACTACCTAGATCACTTCTAGTTTGGCAACAAACCCTATTCATAGCATATTGCTTATTTGCTTTTTATTTTCCTTCTGCAGAGATTCTGCGTATACTTAATTATTAAAAAAGACACCTACTCGATGCAAATCTGGGAGGGAACGAGAAGAATGGTTCGCCTCACGGCACAAATTCGAAACATGGTGTTTATTTTGGTTGTATTACATTTTGTCTTTAAGGGCTTCGTCCCTTTACATTGCCCTCAAAACCCAGCTTAGACATGATCTGAACGAGATGTTGACTTTGCACTGCTGCTGGTCCTTAGAAAAAGAGGAGATTAATCTAAAGAAGGAAGAGGGAAAAGAGAAAAAAATTACAAGCTATCACGGACATGTTTGTCCTTGCATTAATAAGTGCCATGTTATCGAGAGTAATAAGTAGCTGTTAGGTGCTATGGTATTTACCTATAATATATTCGAGTACCTGGCGACATTACTTTCGGGGCTCTTTGGCACGGCAGAGAGAGTAGGCTAGTATGCCCAAGGTTGTAGCCTTCATGGACACGTAGAGGATGATGTGAGAAGCTCAAGGGGGTAGCTCAAGGGGGTAGCTAGAGGATAGCTGGGGGAGAGCTGGAGGATACCTAGAGGATAAGGGGCGATTCGTTAGAATAGAAGAAGCAGTGGATCCGAGGAGTGGATACGACGGCCAAGTTTTGATAAGAAAGGGCTGGATTTATTGGTAATTTTGGTCATGGATGCTACTCTGCCACTCGCGCCATGGTCGCGGATTGAGATCCGGTGAGCTTTTCGATACTAATTTGACGTTGACAGCGGTATCCCAGTCGCCGTTACGTTCTGGGGATTTTAGCGACACATTACACGCATACGCTGGTGTCGTCGTGACCTCGCACTGGCATTCTCATCCTGCCTTGAACGAAAGAGGGGAAACGAAAAGCAGTAGCTGGCCCTCCACCGACCGGAAGGCCCCGTTATGTACAATACAAACGGATACCAACGTGGTGAGCAGCAGGATTCACCGACCAATTCTGCTTCCGTGGAGTAAAAGCAAAGGACTAGCAGACAAACTGGCTTGAAAAAAACCATCGGTGAGACGGTGGGGTGCGGTGAGTAGGCGTCCCCATGTGACGAATTTCGGATCGACTTTGCATGTTCTGGTTTTTTTTTTCAAAGCAGAAAATGTTTCCAAGGTACCTAATAGGTTAGGTAGAATTTTGGAGGTACTTGGGATGAAGTAGCTGCCATGTGGGCAGGTAGGTAGATAGATAGCTACTTAAACTTACCTACTTACCTATTCAGGTAGTTAGAGCCTCTCTCTCTGTAGGTATTGGATGAAGGGGCACAGGTATATAAGAGCCCAACAACACCTAACATGCCTCTCCTCAGTAAGGTAGCCTCTTGTAAGAGGATACGTATGATACAAGGTGTTCTAGCCTTGCGGAACCCCAGCAAAAGACCCCTCAGCTACCCTGAATCATGGACGGGGCAGACCGAATATTGACTAAGTTGACTAACGGTTAGTTAAGCCGAATGGACAGCTAATGGGAAAAGCTACTGAAGATACTTCGTATTACCAATGAACATAATAAGCCCTCAAGCTTGTTAGTTGGCCTAAGTGGCGTGGGAGCTCTAGCTTTAGTGTAGAGTAAGGATAACCCCTGGTGGTCCGGCCCATTCAGCAGCAACAAACACAAATCATACTGTTCATAGTAGCGCTCTGTTGCGTACATAGCTACTCCATAGTATCGTGATCCTCTGCTATAGGGTGATCGAGGCTGGGAGGGGGAGTTGGGATGATCGCCGTCCTCACGGCTTCGCGAACTACGCACATACCTACGCACATACATATACATACCTAACCTACATATATACTACATAGGTATACATACGTAGGAGCATCCAGAATAAGCACCTAACCCAAGAAGATAGTCCATTATAGGAATAGGGAGGGGTATGATACCCCGTGTAAAACGGATGAAGAATACCCGTCATCTGTGATACATAACACACCCTGGAGGGAAGGGGAAAAAAGCCCTAATGCCCCAGTTCTCTGCTGCGTGGCCGCTCCAGGTTGCTCAACACTAGCTCCAAGATTCGGCAGAGTAGTGGGACAAACGCGGATGACGCCACGTACCGTACCGTACCGAAACTCTGCGTTTGTTTCTTTGTCTCCATCGTTCGGGGTGATTTCCTCCAACTTGACTGGACCTTGTATAGGTAGTTCGGAGAAAGGGAGGAAGGGGGGGTGTGTGTGTGGGAGGGGAGGGGAGGGGAGGAGAAAAAAAAGGGAAGCTACCTACGTAGTACCTATCGTGTTGGCGTGTTGCGAACTTTTGAAACCAACGGCGCGGTAGGCTTGCTAGGTAGGGCAATATTCAAACTTACATACTTACCTATTTACTATGTTAATTAGTTACCTACTTACCTGCCTACCGGTTTACCGGCCTACCCAGTAAGTAGCCCGGCCAAGCCTCCCTTGGATTACTAATAAACTCCAATATCCTACATAGCACTACTACGACGCTGGTGTTATTACATATGTCGGTTCGGAATACACTAACTAGGGCAAACCAAGTGATTAGTGGTTAGATTAGCTGTCTAATCCTAATGGATATGGCACACATATGTACCTACCTACGACTTTACTACCAACTTACAAGGCATGTTGCGGTAACCACTTACAACACACACTTGCATCAATACAGCATTTTTCTGGTTCACATATAATGTGCTTTCATCCATCCTTATTGCCCAGTCGCTATGGATTCAACTCGTTGCCATTGGAAAGTGTCGGCATACACAGAGCCTAACTGTTGGTCATTCTTCAACACGCGCCCCCCTTTGCTTCCATCGCCTAGATCCTTCATACGCCCTGGATACGGGGTCAAGCCACCCACCCGTCGCCCGAAGAAATCGTATAATACGAGAAACCCTAGAACTAAAGCCGCGATCCTTCGTATAACATCTTTTCACAACTCGTAGCATGACCGAAGCCGAAGTTACCTAGTCTGTAACTAGCATCGATGACTCGCGAGGTACAATAACAGAGCAAATAGAAATAACTACGTCCATCCGTATCCATCGAGCAGGATGGGAGAAGCGTCGATAAAGCCACCGACATCCCCTTATTGCGGCCATACGAATCCCACAAAAGAATATGTTGCGAAATACAAAGATTCTTTGGAGATAAATCAGATGGATAGCCGTGGAGCAAATCCAGTAAACTGCTAGCATTACTCTTGCGCCGTAACCTGTACGTTATATGAACACCATAGTTAGGTACCAAGGTAGGTATACATCACCAAAGTTGCATTCGAAGGGAACCAATCAAGTCCGCTCCGAGCCGGTAGCAAGCTCTCGCCGTAATCTCACTACGATTCTTCCTCGACACTTCTGTGTAGCAAAGTACCTCACCCTTTATTACCATACCTAAAAATAATGGAGAAACATCAAAGAGGAAGCTAGACAAGAAGGCTTTTATGGAAGATAAGCCAACACTCGCGCGATTTATAGCCTTGTGGTGGATTGTTGAGACACGAGCGTTCTACTTGCTCTACCTACCTACTTACATCGCTTTCCCCTATGTCGAATTGCGGTTTGGGTTACACGGTGGTAAGCAAGTGCTTCTTGTAAGCCCACGGAGGTAATTATTCGACTACCAACTACTACCTACTACCTAAAGTAAGTAATTGGATAGAAGATAGACAAGGTCAGTTTGTCTTTTCGATGCGCTCTCGCTTCTCGCGCCCTTTTCCCGTTGTGTGAATTACTACTAGGTGGTAAGAGACACTCTGCACGGAAAGAAACAAAAGCCATGATGGTTACAGAGGCTATGGGCATCTAGGTACGTAGGTATAGATACTTGTATGGCTACTTAGGAATAGCTATCACTAACTAACTAACTAATAAAACACAGAACCGACATAGCGAGCAAGCTTCCTATCCTACTAGGTACCTAACCTCCTTAGATATCATACCTACCGATTTGAATTACGAAACTTTCGAGTCCTGTCTATTCCCACGCCGTCTACCTTACCTACAACATACGTAAGCAGCGTACGAATAGCATTCAACCGGTCTGGATTTAGATACACTACATACAGTTATTGCTTCCCGTTGCCCCTAAGTATCCAAGTACCTACTCATAAATCGCCTATTGTAAAGCAAAGTTCCTCTCAAGGAGATCCTTCTAGCGAATGACCCACGTTCCCCAAGTCCTCACAGTGGCGAGGAGCTCTATAAATGGTGGTAGAAGGCGCGAGAAAGCGGCAGGCAGGAAACCCTCTTAAAAACAGTGTAAACGGCCTACATACCTAGGCCAGAACAGAACCAACTTTCGCCTATTAGGTGCCTAACTCACCTGCTCTGCGATATAAGAATGGGGAAACCCCAAGTTCGATCGAAACATCTGTTGGAACCCCAGGCCAAGCCTGCCCAGCGCCCAGACCAGACGAAGAGGCATGTTTCAAGGGCTCGATCGATAGCTTGATAAGGCTAGCTTGGCTTGCCTTTATGTCTCATCCCGCATCCCGCAAGAGCGCCCGCATATTGGGTTGTTTCTTTGTTTTTTGTTTTTTTTTGTTTTTCGCCTTTTCACATGCTTGTGCTTGTGCTTGTTGACAGGGAAGAAAGGCCACTTCGGCATTTTCTCCAACCAATCATCACCATGCTCGTCGACAGGCAGTGGCGAAACTTTGGCACCCTGAAGAAGCTTTGGGGAAGGAGAGTGCGTGGGTAGATGAGATGGGCAGGGGAGTAGGTTAGGTAGATCCACACCGCAAGTCCACCATCGTCCCTCTTCCGAGACATGACGCTTCTGTCGTAGATAGGCAGGTAGACAAGCAGTTTGCTAACCTAGGTGCTTTTGCTTTTGCTTTTTTTGTTGTTCTCGTCAAGCTGTCGCTCGCTCGCTTACCTCGACTGACTACCTTACTTACTTATACCTCCCCCCACCCTCCCTCCTTCCCCCATGCCCAACTCGTATTATCTATCGCTAATAGATATGTAGCAAGGACGTAAGTAGGTATTCTGCAAATAGTCAGTGAGTCTGCGGGGCGAGACAGTACAGTACAGTTGACTCCCCCTTTCGCTTGCTTGCTTGCTTGGTTGGTATTCAAACGGACCGCTAAAACTAGGCAAGTGCCGACATACATATGTAGGTTAGGTTATCTGTGATCGCCCACCCGCCCGCCCGCCCGCTCTTGCAGTAGCTTCCTTGGTTAGCGCTGTTTGCTTGGCTGCTGCTGGGCGTTGCTTCTTCAGCGATTGCTAGACATGTATGTGGCTAGATAGGTAGATGGGAGGTAGGTGCGTGCTCCAACACATACACATACTTGGGCGTACACATTGGTACGATGACGTTGAAAGTCGTGATTATAGTAAGCTGGGTAGTAGGGAAGTGGTTATACTATACTATCGCAAGGGTGGTGTAGGTTGTATAGGTGCCGATGTGTGGCCATGTGCTTGTGGAGCTCGTGGGTTTTGTTAACTATCTAGGTAGGTATACATACTACAGATTATGGTAAAAGAATATGATTGGTATGGGTTTACTTGGCATCATATCCTCGTAAACAATGGGAGATTAGGATCTCGCTCAGGGCGCGTAGCATAGGTAGTATTTAGTAGATATCTAACCTGTGTAGGTACGTAAACCACGCAAGAAGAGCTTTCATGAGAGCAGTATGTGTGCACGTCACCCCTGTGTCCACACACCCCTTTTATCCAAACCCACCGGGGACGGGAAACAGCCTATAAAATAGATAGGGATATAGATCGTGTGGGGAGTACTTAATAGGGAGTAAGTGGCAGATATGACTATGTAGGTTAGATACTCACAGTGATATTCTATACTGTCCACCTGCTATCTATCTACCTAACTACCTACCTACCTACCTAGTACATGCTAATCATCTTCAGGAAAGTCCCGCTTCTAGGCAAGACAAGACAAGAGGATAGCTGCAGGTAAGCGAGCTGCCACCCCCCAAGCTAAGTCATGCAGGGCGTGGCACCAGCCGAGGCTTACGTGCAGGTATCTAACCTTAGGTGGGCAATCCTTGCGTACCTATGGTATAGGAGTATTTATGTATTGATGGGAGAGCATATAAGATAGCCTACCCAGGAATCGATCTTGAAAATTATAAAAGGGACTGGGATCGGGTATCAATGCAGTCAGTCGGTCATTCAACACTCCCCCTATTCTGGACTCTCTTGCATATATACAGACAGACAGGCAGGCAGGCAGGCAGGCAGGCAGCTGCATACATATATGCGTGTGATTCAGCTGTGATCAGGATCTAGATGAGCGTATAACCATATATCGAGATTAGATGGTTGATGAGGTATAAGTTACGTCTTTGACGTTGAAGTAAGTAAGTAGGTAGGTAATACGCAAGATCAAGAATTACGAAAAGAAAAACGAGTTCAGGTCGTCTTAGTAGTCGAGTCTAGGTACTCAAACGTTGGAACTTTTGTCTCGGCTGGAATAACAGACTTGATGGGTATAGCTAAGAGTAGAGGCAAGTAGGTGTACATCTGTTCTAAGTAAGGGGGCATAAAAGACCTACCTATCTAGCCTAGGTAGGTAGGTGTCAAGCACATTCGAGTCGTCCTTATACAATATAAAAAACCACGATGGGTCTATGCTTTACGGTGTTATGTATGGATGGGAATGGGGCCTTGATTGGGTAGATACATAAGCAGTCCAGCTATTGTAGATTGGCTGGGAAAGATTCATGAATGGTCGAATGAGGCATATGGTAGCGATACTTACGACTATAACGTAGTTAGATATATAGGCACCCAGTGATCTTATAGGGGCATATATGGAACGTAGAGAAAAAGGGGGATGGGACTTGTCCAGATATTTAGAGACGGCGAACAACACCAAATCTAATAGGTTTCAACTGTGATATTAATTGTAAATACTTACATTACCCTGCCTTAACTTCATTGAACGGCTGGCCTGATTCTTGCAATTGGATCATACACTTTGCCGTATTGCTGTTTCCCCCCTAGGTACCCTTAACAAGGCGAGGCCTATTCGCTACGAAGTACGTGGAATTGACTGTTCTCCAAACGATGGGGTCATTTATTCGTTATACTTGGTTTCTTACATTTCCATCTCTTTTAGGATTACCTACTGGGGCCGAAGTAGCAAGGTTTACCATCAACTTTGGACGTGAGCTTCAAGACGCTAAAGTTATGATTGTAGATATATATAGATGAGCCCGAAGATTGTACGAGTCGTGGCTCAATGACATGAATAGGGGTAGGACTTGCAACCGCCTGTTTTTGGGCAAAAGTGCCCCGCATCGATCCCAACCACTACACTAGATGCATGGCTATGGGAAGGAGTAACAAAACAATGATATATACTAGGTATGTATATCTAGAGAGGGAGCCATAAAGGTCAGAGTGTTGGTATCGTTTCATCTATAGTTATATATCTCTTCAATATGGATGAAAGGATTCGTATCTATGATATCCTGTCTTTATAATAGGCATATATTTCAAACCTTACGAGGTGCTTTTTCTGTCTATGGGCCGACTACGAAAGAACCACCAAGTAATATTGCTGGTTCGTCAATGCTGTGATGTTCGTAGCTAACAAACAATGAGTTAGTATCACATGCATTGTAAGCCCCGATGAAGGGAGAGACCACTTCCTCGGTTCGAAGGAAAAGATAACTTACCTCAATGTCCCAACACCACCAGCCTCTAACAGGAACGCTGGACCCTCCTCGAATTTCTTATCAACCCATCTCATAGCGAAGGCTCTGAGTATGTGACCGTGTGCCACAATGAGGACATCTGCTGGCGGCAACTGTGCTGATTTGGGTTTACCTATTACAGGAGCATGCCAATTCTCTCGGATCTCCTTAATTATGCGGTCTAAACGCTGCGTAACATCTTCAGGACTCCTAATATCCACATCAGTTCTCCCCCTTTCTATGGTCTTTACTTTATCAACGCCAACATATTTGACTAGAGCCTGCAATGGCACCGTTGTGCTGATAGATATAGGAGAGGCTAAGACTTACTCTCCGCCAACGCAGCCGTCTCTCCAGATGTCCCATTTCTGATCGAAGCCCTGTTTTTTGCGAATCTCGCGGATCTCAGGGGTTGTTATGCCCTCGTAGTCACCGTAATCCCACTCGCGGATATCCTCCGTGACCTCGACCCGAGCGCTACAATGAGGGCCTACATCTGGCAATTTATCGCCATGGACTTTCCATGGTAGCGGGTCATCAATGCCAAAGTTAAGTAGCTCAAAGGTCCGTTGCGCTCGCTTCCGTGGCGACACGTATCTGGAATAAAGATTATATTAGTATCACATGCATACTCCTAAGTAGAACACATGTTAATGGATCGTAACAAGAGACCACGGCCTATGTGATCTGATCTATTCTATCATAGTGTCTAGAGGTCCCGTGTCACCTGTCCAAAGCACACAAAACCTTGACTTAAAGTAAATCAAAAATGTGAAAATACAAGTTTGAGAGGGAAGAGATAATATAAAGCAGACTAAATGAAAAGAAGATACGCAATTATAGAGCTTTTCACAGAGAAAACACCAAGTTTTGCAAGCTATGTCAAGCTGTATGATGCCTTGATAGGCAAGAGTATTTCTGACTGTCTGCTGCTTACATCCATGGATACAGGGGAGAGATCCGTGCTTATGTTGACATTTAACAAAGCTAAATAGAGAGGAACTCACATATGGGCAAGTTGCTTTGGGACAATCAATCGGTCATCCCCTACGAGAGCGCGACCTGTCGCCTTGACTCGCTTCTCACCATTGGCTGTCAGCGGTATATCAGTGACACCTGTATGTTTCCCACTCAGAGACCACTCCGTCTCGCCGTGACGGACGAGGAATACCCGAGGGGTTGTCATGGCGTTCAACCGATCAGGGCTGAACTTCGAGCCAAATTTAGGTAGGTAGGCACCTAACGTATGATTATACCGTCGTGATTGGCGCTGTGATAGAGAACGGTTGACAATGGAGTCCTAGTCTATTAATAAGACACTTTGGAAGCACAGCGAGCCACGGATATCACCCGGCAAATAGGTCCGCGGGGTGTTCTATCTACTGTGGCACAGCAGAAATATAGACCCCCCAAGAATCTAACGTCCGTTCTGATACTTAGATTCCAACTGCTAACCAATTTGGGTAGAGAGGTCTGGCTAGTGGGATGAACCCTTGAACCCCTCGAACCCCTCGAACCCCTCGAAGAGATCGAAGACACTGAAAAGATGTATGACGCTAGATGTAGGTACCGTGTATCTAAATAAGAACTGTCTCAAATTTGGAAGTAAGTATGCTAGTTTGAAGGGTGGAGACAAAGAAGAATCAAGTATGAAACTTCAACTATTTGGCTTATTTTTTTAAATGTTTTTTTAAGGGAAAGGAAAGAGTTCTACGATCGAACGAATGGGAAGGATATTCTTATAATAAATGAAAGTAAAAAAAAAAAGAAAGAAGGTCCTTAGTCATCGATGATGTCCCTTCCCGATATTACAGGTCGCTTACTAAAGGCCTTATCCCTGCCCATCGTTGGTACCACTAAAAAACGCAGAATCCATGAAATCGGCAACGGCGCCGACTTTTTTGCTTCCGAACTCGAGCTCCAACCTTGGCCCACTACACCTTCCACACATACCACAACCACCACAACCACCACAACCACCAACACCACCAACACCACCAACACCACCAACACCACCAACACCACCAAACCAAAAGGCTCCCGTGATCTACAAATCAAATTACCCCAAGTACCCAAATCAGTTGTCCTTCGCGCCAAGGAAGGAATCACCTCCCCGTCGTTACTTGCTCTACGTCCAATCAGTCGCGCCAGCTCCTTCAACAGCAGCTCGAGCTCCAGCAGCAGCAGCCGGAATAGTTTCGGAAGCAAGAACAGCAGCAGCATTGCCCAAAGCGGCAGAGGACACACCCGATCCCAGTCCGAACCCTCTTGTCATGACGTATCGCGCCGACGATCCCCAAGCAAGAAGCGACAGGCAAGTCAGCTCTGCTGGAGAGAGTACTGGGGGTGAAAAGGATTAGAAGGAAGGGGGAAAAAAAAAGGGAAAGGTTGGATATCTGCAGTGCCTATCATGGCACCACCACCCCGACCCCCACCGTCGCCCCGAGCACAATCGCGGATACCCCGATCCCGAAGAGCCAAAGCGCCCATAATACCCACACCCACGCCCCTCTCCGCTTTACCCACCAGCAGCCGCAACAACAGCAGCAGCAAGTTCCCTCACCCCCCTTCCGCACCACGGCCTGGGGCCTACAAGCTCCCCACCCTAAAACGCGTGATCTACACCGGCGCCTTCGCAGCCGTCGCCGTCGTCGGCGCCATCTACGGCGCCGGTCTAAAGGCGCAGAAGGAGTACCAAGAGGAGAAGCAGCAGGTGGTCGAGGCCAGCTACGAGGACCGCATCGAGTACCTCGAGCAGCGGCGCGCCATGCTCGTCACCCAGAAGATGCCGCTTGAGCGGCGGCTGAGGGAGCTGAGGGAGAGGATGCGGATGGAGGAGATGAGGGAGGTTAAGGAGGGTAGTAGTAGCGGTGGTGAGGGTAATGTCGCGGCTGGTGGGGAGAAGTGAAGGCATTGTTACTAGTGCTGGAACACGTTTACGGTGATGCCTTCGAGGATTGGTTAAGCAGCTAAAAAGGCTGCTGAGAAGTCACCTGTCAAAGCTAGGTAAGCTCCATTTGAGCATGTCTTGATGTGGGGTTTATTACGAACGGCTACACGGGTCAGATCTACGAATACTCATTTTGAGACAAGCTACGAGCATTGCGGGTCTTGGATGGATGTACATGTTGCGCCTACTTGGACATCATTACAAACCCGGTCAATCTCAGATATGATCGAGATACAAATGACAGGCAGGAGTTTTAAAATCTCCCAGTAGTTAGTCGTACGAGTGAGATAAGGGATGGAACATACTAGGGTAGAGTCGAAGCAAATCATAGGCATCGTGGGTCCATCCTTATATAGAAAGACACTAGAACCTAGAGATCCGTGGCGCTCAATTATCTTTTACGTTACCGAATCAGATTGGAGATGTCAATGCACAATGTAGCATACAACTTGCTAGGTAGGTACCTAGATAGGTACTTTGTAGAGAACATTATGAATTGGGCTACATTAGCATAACTTCATTTTCCCAACCGTTGTTGTTCCCTATCGAATAAACGTGACTCTAATGTCAGCCCTGTAAACCTACTCGCCATGCACTCAAACGCCCGTATGCGATACTGTAATCCCGTATCCTCGCCATTAGTCCATCGTACCCTCAGCAGAAGGCAGGGGGATGGCGCGGTAAAGTAATATCAAAGCCGAGTGCGACTCGCCACCTCCTGCCAACGCCTCAATCTTGTCGGATGTCACCTCCGAGACCTTGTCGTCGTTAAACCACCACCACTTGCCGTCCTCTTCCTTTCGCTTACCAGTCTTTACATCAACCGGGGCCGTCTTCTTGACATAGGCCGTGTAGTGGCCACTGTCTGCGCTAGCACCCTGGTGCGTAACGACACCTCTGAGCTCGTACAGGCCCGATTGGTTCGCGCCGTCGTCGTTGGCCAAGTCCGGGTTGATAAGTGCATGCAGTTCCTTCTTAGATGCGAGCAGCGCAGCATCGCGTTCGGCGTCGATCTCGGCATCTGTCTTATAAGTTTCTGTCATCTCTACGTCGCCATTTGCCTTCTTCTCGTCCTTCTTCTTGCCTTTCCCGCCAGGAGCATCTTCTTCGGGCTCTTCGCCAGCCGCGTTGCGCTTACGGCGTTTTCGTGCGCGCTCGATATCCTCTTCGTCCTTTCGGACTTCCCGAACCTTGTCCCGGACAGGAACGAGCGCTCCCTTTAGCTTGTCGTCGCAGAACTCGACGAGGTCCAACTCGTGGGGGAAGGTTACTTTTCGCATGATCTTGGCCTTCTTCTGGGTTTCTCGTTTCCAGAAGAAGCGAACGAAATGTACGGTGAGATACTTAGGTAAGCGAGAGATCTTGGAGGTCTTGGTATACATAGTGTCAATACCGAGAACTTCGGATCGCTTCTCCAGCTTCTCACTCAAGCCATTTGCAATGCCGTCCCGCAGATGATTCGTGTTTGAGTCGATGTGGCAGTTCAGTTTGAGGAATTTGTCTTTCGAAACCACGGCCTTCTCTCCCTCGCGGGCTGCGGGCTCATCACACACAAGTTCAGAGGTGAATTCGCCTGCCATGTACTTATCAATAAATGAAGCATCACCAGAATCCGGGGCATCCTTCACTCGCAGATTTTGTCGCAACTGGCTAACAATCTGAGACCAGGCCTCCTCGGCATCTTGTTGAGCATAGCCTTCACCAGTTCGGGAGCGCTCGGCGAATTGGGGAAAGGCCCTGCGGAGAGCGGCAAGAAATGCGAGCGGGTTATAAGCTTCCTGAGTCTCGGACATGTACTTGTAAAGATCACGGAGCTGTCTGGTCAGGTCTAACTGGGGCATGACACCAGTAGCACCAGCTCTTGGGGGTTCGTACTTGACCAGAGCATTGTTTAGCTCCGGGATAGCACGCAGAGCTTGTAGTGTGGAGTTGAGATAGCAGGTATTGCCAAGGTTGGTCAGGCCAGCAGGTATAGCTCCCTCCTGCTGAGCAGCCTCAGCCTCGGTCATGTCCTCAAGAAACTTGATCTTCTCCTTTGGCCGGGAAAGTACTTCCTTTCCATTCTTCTCAGGTGTACCCAGCATCATCAACTGTTGGCCAGATTTCAAGGCGAACTTGCTCATAGGAGTATCATCCTTCAGTTGGCCACCCTTGATCAAGATCTTCTGACGCGCGGGCTCTACGCCGGTGAGACTGTAAAGTTGAAACTTGAAGATCTCACCGGTGGATTCGGTATCGACCTCCACATTGTACTTGGTGCCTTGATGCTTGACGACGACTATATCGAGCAAGGACAGGTTAGCGGAGGTGGCTTGTAATGGAGATCTGAAGCTTTGACAGCTTTGAATGCTTACCCGGTATTGTCGCCATGTTGTAAAACCAACAATATTATATTCACAATATTCTTTTGAATTATGGGTAATGTTGTTGTTAATTGTTGTGGTGGAAGAGATAAATAGAATGTGAGGTAAGGCAACGACTAGAGTTAGAACGTTGTGGTAATGGAGATGATTTTGTTACCAGGCAAACTCGTCGTGCGTCACCCAATAATTGATGGATGGGTAGGTAGGTAGGACCTGGTAGGTATGGATGGATAAGATGGATGGATGGATGGATGGATGGATGGATGCGATTTATTCCTGCCCAGGTTGTGTAAGCCTTGTAACTAACCGATGCCTAAGTGGGACTTACATCTCATATAAGGTTATTACTGATGATTAATCTTCACAACACAAGAATACCCCCTATAAATTCATACTTATACCTTAGATACCCCACATTCAACTCTAAGGAGCACCTACCTATCTACTAGTAGTACATAGTTAATAACTAGCAGGTGCATACCATCATCAGGCTGCGTCCGTGTGCTACAGATTACGGTTTGCCGACTGCTTCTTCCTCACCTCCCCTCCAAACACATACACACGCACACACGCCCATTGAAGCAAGACAATCCTCAAGGGACGGGACTGCTCTACGCACCATGGTATTGATAATTCCTGACTCACTATTATTTGATTATAATTATGTAGAATACCAAACGTAGCTTTGCTAACTCGAAATGTCAAATAGTCTCAATCACTCCGCCCTTACCTTCAATGCGTGCGAAGCACTCTGACTGCCGCTCTTTGCCTCTCCAACTTCGCCTCCCAGACTTCTGAGCGCCATAATGTCCCCGAAATCGAAGCCCAAACATCCCCCGAGGTTCTACTCAACCCCCTGGTAATCGCCCGAAACGAAAACGAGAAGGTCTTGATCGAGCCCAGCATCAACAGCGTACGAATCAGTATCAAGATTAAGCAGGCCGACGAGATTGAGAACATCCTCGTCCACAAGTTCACCCGTTTCCTTACCCAGCGAGCAGAAGCCTTCTTTATCCTCAGGAGGAAGCCGATCAAGGGCTACGATATCTCCTTCTTAATAACAAACTTCCACACCGAGGAGATGTTGAAGCACAAGTTGGTGGACTTCATTATTCAATTCATGGAAGAGGTCGACAAGGAAATCTCAGAGATGAAGCTATTCGTATGGTGCCCCTTACCCCACAATTTGATCGTAGACTAATTGTGCCCAGTTGAACGCACGAGCAAGATTCGTAGCCGAGTCTTTCTTAACACCCGTAAGTCCTTTCGTCCCTATCTCAAAATATTACTGCTGACATGATATTCTAGTTTGACTAAGTGAAATTTACATACGGGATAGAATGTTGGGGTTCCTCCTAGTTGATGAAGAGAAGATGAAGGCATGAACTATGAATCTGCTGTTCATAGAAATGCATGAATTAACATACCCAAAACATCCGCCGGCGAGACCGCACAGACAAGTAGTGCACCCTGGTGATACGCTTTACTTAGACACATAAAATGATAGCAATCAATGGATTTTAGGTTAGGATTTTATTTGATTTGCTTAACCAATCTATGCTCTTTCTACGGGGAGAGGGATCGTTTAAGATTGGTTGATCTCAGCAGTGTTGCCATTAACAGATTCGGATGCTACCTTCCTTTCTTCCTTATGAACCTTACTTTAGACATTTGTATCCTACCGCAATTTCACCTGGAAATGTCTTTGTTCCACTAGAGTTATAGTAATCTCGTTAGTTCATCACGATCTCATACGGGTTGAGTAGTGCTCCCGCATGTTCCATTCCATTGGTTAGCTCCTACGGTAGTATAAATGAAGCTTCTTAAGCACCATCAAATGTCTGAGAGCTCTGAATTATATTTACCTACCTATCTAATAAAGGAAAAAGAAAACAACTGTTAGGAATCTACTCATTGAGGATGTTGTAATGGGGATTCCAACCCGAAACCAAAAAGGAGAATATGAACAATGTTGAGTCAACCAGTCAATTTCCGATCTGTCTTGTCTTGTCTTGAAAGTATTCTTACTCTTCATAAATTCCTCCAGCCATTGTATGAGCACGTCTAGATTCGTTACCACATATCCAAAGGCAGAGCCAAAAACATCATTCGTATATTCCGATATCCGGTAATCAATGGCAACCTATGAGAATCAGACGTCCGTTCTTACTTGGCTCAGCGTGGCAACAACTATAACAGGCTATTCTCTGCTAACAGCATATTTGGTTGGCAAGAAGGCTCACTAGTGTTGCCGTAGGGCTGAGTATGGGATGGCCTCGATGATCCGCCGCCATATCATACTTCTCGTGATCCTTAAAATACTTCGTACCATACGCACAGAGCACCATGGTCCTTCCGGAAGTTTCCGGATAACATCTAGGATTCTGTTCGGCACGGTCATAGGTGCACGGTCGCGGCTTGTGTTGTAAAGTATTATTAAGACTCAGTGTAGCATGGCTAACTCTAAGCACATTGGGCTGGTGCCCGCTTTGAATTGCTGAACTATCTCAAATGTAGGAGACCTTCGATCATCCATGGCGGGGAATATCTTAACACTACCTAGGTACTAGAAACTCGAGCTCAAAGTCAAGTAGGTAGTAGGTAGGTAGGCATCGATACACGGGGGTTAATTTCGAGGCGGCGATGAAGTTATAGGTCCTATCGGAAGCAAAGTAATCATGCTAGATTATGTTCACTCAGGTATTTCGCTGCTTCAACTCCTCTATACCCGTCTTGGTCTCTGTGTGCTCTGTTTTCAGATCCTGATGCTTGATGCACGAGCTCGTCACCAGTGAAACGGCCGCTATGGCGGTGTACATGATGAACATGTTCCTCAGACTCCACGCAAAAGCATCCTCCACCGCCTGGCGCTGAGCCGCGTCGTGGATAGTCTGTACAATTCCCACATTAGCCGCTGCTTTATCTCCCGACAAGGCCTCGAGGACGGATTCGCTAAGGCCAGCAGCGGCAAGAGATGGGTGGCGGCCAGCCATGCTATTCTGGAACACGACGCCGCCAATTACGATGGACAATGATGTAGCTACGTTTCGAATGAAACCTAGAGTTGCCGTGGCTGACGAAGTGTCAGCCTGACTGACGGTATTCTGGATGGCAATCGTAGGTGTTTGGAATAGAAGCGCAGTGCCGATGCCCCCAATGATCTCAAATCCAATTATTTTGCCAATGGATGTGTCGGTTCCGAAATTAATGTACAGTCCTGTTCCTAAAGTCATAAGAGCTGCCCCAATCCAAATAAACTCAGTGTAACGGGCTGTTTTATGGATCAATATGCCGACAATAACATCGGTAGCTGCCTCCGTCGCCATCATAGGAACAATGAGAGTACCGCTGCGAACCGGTGAGGCCTGCTTGACGCTTTGGAAGTATAGCGGCAGATAATATTCTATCCCGATGGACACCATACTATGCGTGAAAGCGACAAGGTAGGTTGCGTTGTTAGACCGGGTCTTGAACGTATCAAGCGGCATCAAGGGGTATTTGGCTAGACGTATCTCGCTGAAGAGAAAGAAACTGATCATAACCATGCCAAAGACGATTAGACAAATGACTTTTGGGCTACTCCAGGGAAATATAGCCCCACCAAAATCCAGACCGAGGAGGAGTAGAAGCGTAACTGCTAGTATGGAGATAGTGCCGAACCAATCTACAGCCATAACACCTTCGATTAGCTTTGTGTGAGGATTATGCACATCTAGGAAGAGAAGTAGACATAGGAAGGCCATCCCGCAAACAGGGAGGTTAATCCAAAAGCACCATTGCCAGCTCACAAGTTCCGTGAGCGCTCCTCCGATTAGAGGCCCGGCAGATCCGGCGAGAGCCCACACTACTCCTAGTAAGCCTATATAGAGAGACCGATTTCGAACACTGAAGAGATCGGAAATTGTGATGGCCACCATCTGCATTAGTCCGCCACCAGCTGTGCCTTGCAATGCTCGCGCGGCAATCAACATGGACATGTTTATGCTTAGGGCGGCAATCATACTAGCGATAGCAAATATCCCGACGGCACCTAAAAGAGCAGGCTTACGACCCCATATGTCACTGAATCGAGCCCAGATAGGCCCAGCTGCTGCATTGGCTAGTAGGTACGCACCGCCAATCCAGACATACCCCGAAGCCGAATGCAGAGACGCCGAGATAGTGGGGATGGCGGTTGCTACGATGGTTTGATCAAGAGCAGCTACAAAGAGCACGAGCTAAAGGGGGCTATCAGCTAAAGGGTTGCCGCTGTGGTTTTAAATAGGATAAATATTGTACATATAATGAGGCCAATATGGCGAACATGCGCGGCTTTGTGCGAACTTTAGGAGCATCGAGTATCTCAAGCGACTCAACAGGTGGCTCAGTTGGCAACGCGGCATCCGCCATAAGAGGCTTGGCAGGTGTAATGTCGCCCATGATCATGCAATTTTGAATGCTATTTAATCGTGTCTTTAATTGAAGATAAATCGATGGGAAGTTGCGTGACAGATGAGGGAAAAGGGAAGAAATAAATAGGCACCAATGTATTGAATATTTAAGGCTGACATTGAAGGTACTAGGTACTTAGTACATGCCGGTACCGAGTAACTACTAGGTACTAACTAACTACCTCTTTCCTCTTGTAAATTATCTCGACGGCCAATCATGAATTAAAAAAATTACCCCAGCTAATGTCCTTGCGCCTTCCGAGGCAAGACATGGCACCATGCATGGCGGGTACGCCCTTCCCGCCTTCCCTAAGATCCACCCCACTAATTCCCAAATCGGGTACCTGCCCAATTCGGACAAACATCTCACGATCCACCAACAACCATGCCCCACCCAATGATTGCGCGCCCACCTTGACGATATCTGTACATAGATCAGTATGAGATGAAAACCCCAAGGTCAAACCCAGCATGTTAGTCTCTAATATCTAGCCCATATTTTTTGGGTTGAAAGTATCTTCAGTCGTTGAAATCTACTCTCAATACATTTATTTCCTTCTAATCGAAAGGTATCAGCCCCAAATAGGGGTTCATTATTGGAATCTCGCATTTGCTAACTTGACATCGGCGAACATCTAGGTCAGCCTTTTTGGCCTAGATGTAAATACATTCTAAAAGATTCAAGAGCCCTCCCATAAGTATTCAGTAACCTTAGAATGTTTATATCGTGAAGCTACACTATCAATACCGTCGTTAACAGTACTTGCCCTCGGTCGCATAGGCATTGACAAGATATACTATCTACAAGGCAATGATCTGTACATTCTTCTAGTTAGTCCCGCAAGAAATTTGTTGTCAGAAGGAGAACATTGAGGATCAAAATTCAAAGGAAAAGGCCGGTTTTCTTCACGAAGTAAAGAACCTTTCGTCCAAAGAACAACGTACAGATATCAAGACCCGGGTTCAGCAACACCGCCACTTCCAGAAGTAGGCGTTGCACTTATATCATTCCATAATATTTGAAGCTTTTTCAGATGCGGGCATCATGTTAGCACCATCTCTTAGGTCCCAGCGACGAATTTCAGAAGCTATTACCAAAAATACAAGACAGAATCCCAACGACGTCATTTCATATAGCACCTCGGATCATACCCAAGAGATTCTTAAATTGGCTCCCTTAAGGAAATAATATATGTATCTGATCATATCATAGAAGAAACAAGCAGGCCATTTGAGACCAGTTACAATACAGAGAACTTGAAACTTCCTATAAATTAGTACTCTATAATTTGATGCTTCTCTATTACAAGATTACAACAAATTATCTGCCTGATTTTCACTCTTCACCACGTCCTAATGGTCTTACTTTGAAGCCTAAGAAATAGGAAATCATCTAAAATCCCCTCGGGCTACAATGATTTCTTTGAGGTCAAAAGGTGTCCTATGATACCTAATGTTCGCATATGAGTTTGTGGTGGTTCAATTAGATATAGATATGACTTATTCTGCGCTCAAGAAGAGGATGATTCATCAGTGATCTAGAAGCGCATCTGGCATCCACAGAAAGAGCCATCCTGATCGAATTCCAAGATAGTGGAAGTGGAGGAATAAGAGCCACGAGGTATCATCAACGCCCAAAGGCAGCCATTCAATTGCCTTGGCATAAGAAGATAGGAGGCAGCGGATATATTATTATATTTGCCTACCAATATCTCAGATAACACCCCACGCCTAATCATTCGCCTTAACTAACCCCAAAATATTCGAATAGAGAGACATCGCCAGAGTTTCCGCTCCAGGTAAAAAAAAAAAAACTTTTGTAATTTTAGGTAGAAAGGGAACGCCCTGTTGCTTCTGTGGGGTTGGTACCTAGGTACTCAAATAAATTTTCCAATGATATTGTACACACAACATGATCCTGAAGGGATCTTAACAATGGCAGCAACGTTTGCGATGAAATTTGCCGGAAAACTGGGTTGAAACTAGTTTCCATCACAATACTATTTCCTACTTCAAATCCAAACTATATGACAACGAAGGCCGCGGCTTGTGCGTAGTAAAAGAATAAGTAATATAACGACAGATTTATGAATATGAGGCGCACCGCGGCATCACATGGTATTATAATTCTACGGGTTCAGCCATCTATTTGTCTAGCAGAGGGTAGGAATAATTATTCTTGAGGTATTCTCGATTAGTCTCGTCCAAGATAGTTATCCAGAGGAGGTATTTGGTTTTGTGTAGGTGGTGTACTACTAGGTAGTCATTCGTGCCTGATGGCAGTTCTGGCAACTGGTTTGTACCTAGGTATAAGTATTCTGATATGAATATAGCAATATTTGGTATCTAATACAACGCATCTACCGTGTGAAATGGATTGATGCCTGGATGCCTTATTTGTAGCTGCAAGTTTCCTACAAGCTTCCATTTATCCGCAACACTCTAGTACCTACGTACTTACAAAATTAACCTTACATATCCATTTTCGACAACATCCCATTCAGCAGCTAATGGGGAATTACCCATTTATGTCCTCTTCTTCATACCTTATTTCAATAAGTTAAACCTCTTCGGACCCACTCACTATCCAGGCATCTCCAAAGCTCCCTCAACTCTTGATCAGGTTGGGTACTTTGGTCAAGTACAGAAAACAGCCAATAGGTAATTCCACCAGCATCCGAACTTTGCATTTACACCATCTCCATCCTTTCCTCCCATAGTTATTTATTCCTTATTCCTCATTCTAACTTCTCGGCCTTGACCATCAAGAATCAACCCCAATCTTCGCACGGCTTCTGAAGCCCTTTCCCTCTTCTACACTCGCCAGAGTATTTCCTCACAGACACCACTACTTAATTGATCATTTTCAGTTCCTGAACAGCCTTTAATTTATAGATCTCTGCAACATATCGCGAACAACAGAGAATTCACCAACTTGATAAGTCCCAAAGAGCTGTCCCTGGTCAAATTATCTAGGTAATTAGAGCACGGTTCATCGTCTTCCTCGCTTCCTATTATTTCTATAGCAACAGTACATTTGGAAATGTCCGCCAACTGACTTGGATCACAGTGCCCAAAAACTCGTCACCCACCAAGGTATATTCAGGTGGTACATTCAGGTACGTACTGCCACTCCCCTTAAATAAAAGGCATCTACCTACCTACCCAATATCGTTCATTGGTCCTCATTATTTCATCCACTCTTTTCTTCAAACAAACTTTTCCTTCCTTCCTTTTTACAAAACAATCTAACCTCTTATCTCGATAGTCAACTGAGCTCACTCGCACAAGTATCTAGGTCACTCGTGCCTGCTCTTGATTAGGTATGTAACAATTTTCTCTTCCTTTATCACCTCCAACATCTTCAACGCATTCAATCCTCAGATTTTGCGAACTCATATATCTATTTCTTTCTTTGAATTCCTCTAGACTTTCACAGCCCAGTTACATACTTGGGAAGAGGCTAGCAAGGAGGAATCTCAAATCAATCGTCATTTTCCTTAGAGTCGTTCATACAATACCTACTAGGCGCCTTCCAACTTCACTTCTACCCTTTCCTCATCCCTCATCTCCCCTCCTGCCACTTCGCCGTGCCCCAGCAAGAAAATAATAACGAAAATTCCATTCTGCATTCTGCCAGCTGACACGTGCTGGTACTTTGGTACTTTGGTTACCAGATATCATACAATTCCTAAGGTACCTACACGGAACCGTGCTCGTTCTTTTCCAAGTCCAAGACGCACAGTACACTTCCTAAACCACTCCCATTACAACAATCTATTCCGTCGCGCCTTCTTCCCGTCCTCTTTCCCTCATTTTCCGATTTTCACATTATCTTTCCATTCTTTCCCCATTCTTTCCCAGACCTAACATCTTTTCTTTCCTCTTTAAATTAGACGATCATCCTATCATAGCATCCAACCTCCTTGGTAAGTACTAGGGATTTCATATGATTACATCAACACATACACATATATTTACATACCATACTCTTATGTGTACGAATGTGTGAAGGCCCGACCTTCTTTCTACCTGGTTGCCTTGTCTTCTCTTTCACATATTGCACAGTCAACTCAGATTGATACTTGTTAGCATGCTCATCCATCAACCCCAACACCAGCACTTATTAATTTTTTCGCTCGCGCACACAAAGGTTAATAATATTATCAGTTATACTTGATGGTCACTAACTTCATATCTATGAAAAGGCTATTTACTTCCACACTGGACTTCGTTTACCTTTAGTTTATCACGCTTTGATATCGCTATAACTATTTGACTACATCATATAGCTATGGCTTATCGCATGACTGGACCAGCCCCGGAGCTTGCTATACCTCCACGTACACGATGGGTTAACTCCAAGCTTCGTCGAAGCAGCGGAGCTTCATTTTCGTCGGTCGACAATGACAATCATGGAGGTGCTTCTTTGAGAGACAACTCCAAGACAATTATTTTTGATCGACCTCATACGCCCAAGAACAACCAGCAGCCGGGTAGATTCACCGGTACTAGCTATGGCAACTACGACAACATTGCCAATCCTAGCCAGCAGCACATGGCTTCACCTGGTGACATTCCTAGCGAGACAACTCCGCACAGTAATATGGTAAGTAACCCCTCCATACGCACTGAACAAACTTTCCATGCTAACAAGTGTCATCGATAGTCGCCAATTGTCAACCATCTCATCGATACGTATATCAGCGGCCAGGCTTCTAACGCCGCTGATAATGAGCTGTTTCTACGATCTCCTGGAACACCGGGTCAAGACACAATGTCACCTACAGTCTTCTTGAGCCCTAGTGCATGGATCTCCCCTCAAGGACGAAGTGATAGCAGCACTTTGCAAGCCATTGATACGCAGTTCCTTGTCGACGGTATCTGGGGTGACCATATGCGACGAGAGGCTAAGAGAGCCAATGATGCGATGAATTCTCATAGCAAAGGACTCGGTAATGTCACCATGGGCCAAAAAGAGCGCAATGGCGAATACGGAACAAGCTCAACGTCTCACCAAGTTTTCGGAACAGGCCAACAGAATGTCGACCAATATGCTCCGAGCAGCAATGGTCAAGCTGATACTACCCAGAGAATCCACCGCCCAAGTAGACGAGACAGCCTCGCTAGAAGTGCTCGAGCTATGCAGCCTATTCCTGAGTACACAGAACTTAGCCCGGTGTCAGTCGCCAAGAGCTCCTCAGCTGGCTCGATCGTTCCACCTACTCCATCTCGTGCCCATACAACCGGCATGAGCCCCCAATATTCTCGACAAACGCAATCTACTGGACTGATTGTCACGAGACCTGATCTTGGGCCATTGCCCTTCGAGCCCGTTCCAATTTACGTCCAGGAAGCTCGCTCTCAGTGGCTCAACCTATTGACGGGAGTTGATGGCCACCCCTCTCCGCAGTATATTGCCATTCCTCTTTACATGCCGTTTAAGAACCCAAGTCGGGACATCATTCATACCAACTATGGCGTCGTGAAGATTACCAATGTAAGTTGCTCACTTATTTAGCATTTCTTTGTACATTCAAGACTTTTTGAGTGAATCCTAACAATCTCTTCTCTTAGATCCCCTACAATGTTTCCCGCGCTGAAATACTTGCCTTCCTCGGCCGCAGTGCTCGTCTCGCTCCCGACAGGGACGAGCCTATCCATATTGTTATGGACCGCATTAACAGTAAGACCAACGACTGCTACGTTGAGTTTGAGTCGCTTGACCATGCTGTTGCTGCCGTGAACAAGCACACCATTGCGGCAAAGAATAACGACCCCCAGCAGCGCATCGGAGGCCGCAATGTTTATTTGTCGGTTTCCAGCCAAGGCAGCCTCATGAAGGCTTTGTTCCCCATCGCTAAGGGTGTTGATTGGCGAATGAGACCCTATGCAATTACTCTTGATTCCCGATTCAGCTGGGAAAACTTCAAGTGCTTTGTATCGGCAGAAGAACTAACGATGCTATCCAAGCATATTGAATATCCCGACCGCGTAAGATTATTCTTCCCACCCCCCCTTCTGCATTAATCTCCTCTGGAGCATCCCCTTGCTGACATTTTCTTTTTGCAGACTTCATTCGCAAACAAGTGCCCCGAGCGAGGATACGAATCTATGATCAGCATCCTCAAGAAGATGCCTTGGTTCATGCCTGAATGGATCACTGTCAAGGAGCGCCACATGATCTACGAAACCACGCTGAAGTTGATCAGCATTTTGAAGACCGATCTTGAGGAGAAGCCGGGTCAGATCCGTAAGACCCCTCAGCTGCTGAACCGACTTGTCAATGCAGCCATGACTTGCCCGGGCTTCACTGTCAATCAAAAAGACAACATCGGTTTTGTTATGAACCTTGACGAGAGCGACTTGTATCGCTTTGGGCTACCACGATTGCCCCATATGTGGGCACACCAATACTCCATCTGCACCAAGGCCAATGCTCCCGCCGATGTCATTGAGGTATGCTATGCCCCTACTGCTATTTCTTTACTCATTTGAGCTTTTGCTAACGATGACCCAATAGTACTACATTGCTCTCATTCGCGAAGAGACCAATCGCGTTGTCAGCAGCTTAGGCATCAATCGCCGACAACAGTTGCAAATCGAACAAGATCAGACCTCCGACTATTGGGGTTACTTCTGGTGCGAAGTGGGCTACCCTACTGGCCCAAGCTTTGACAACCTGTCTCTCGCTCGTCTTGCCGAGCTTGAGTGGACTGCTATGGAGCGGATCCTCCATCGGGCTATAGAGGGAGGTCCTACTCCCGTCTACTAGCTCAAGAAGGCTAGCTGGAGTGCTCTCCGTTGGGCGGCGGATTAGAGCTTCCGCATATAAGATCTCGAAAAGACCGAGATGAAAAATCGAGAACGGTACACGGATTTCCCAAGATACAAGATTTTAGGCCAATACCGACTCCGAGGCCTCGATTTACCGAAGACTAAACAAACTGAAGATGATATTTGCTCTCTTCTAGACGACATTTAGCCTTGTCTCTTTTGCTGTACTTACATTGCTTGCTTGCATTGCGTATTTTTTTGCTTTTTTACTGCGTCCAGCCTCGAACGCTTTAACGCCTTTCTGGTCAACAGCTTTTATGACCAACAGCCTTACGCCCAACACCTTGGCATCATACACCAGTTCTCCCCGCACCGATACGGGTTGAGGAGGACAAACTGTACAACACACAGTGGAATTGGAATGAAGAGAAGCGTTCTCTCATCATACCACGAAATGGTAGGAATCTAGCGAGATATCCCACCCGAGCTGATAGAATACGCAATGCCCGGCAATACCATGCCGGATCTTCATGCCCTATATGGCAAGCAACTATCCAACTTGCAAAATTCTCTCCAACGAGACTGCAAATGAGGTAGTTCCGATACAATGTAACGATAGGTAGCTAAGTTAAATCAGAGCTCTATATGTACAAACAGGTTTCCCTCATGCATGTGCTTCTTATTTCTTTTGTGATTTATATATGTGCCAGATCCTGTAAGTGTGTATTCAAAATATAGCCACCGTAAGAGTTATGTAGGAATCAGGTGCTGTCACGTTGAGCATATGTTGCGATGTTGAGATGATATGTTGAGATGTGGTGATGATACTACCTAGTAATGTTGTAGTTCAATTTTGAGCCCCTATATATCACGTGATGGAAAGACTTCGGATGATAAGATGAAGTTGAATTTTAGCTAGCCGGGTCCGTAACTCCCCACATTAGTCAGCCGGAGTGGCGATACGTCAGTTAAATCGAACTTCCCCGCTTAAGTTTAATGTTTGGGGGTTGAGTGCCATGTATGTATGTACTACATACGAAGTATTAGGTACAATACATGTACATCAACAGTACCTAATTAATGTATTGTACAAATACCTAGTACACCCCACTTCCACCTGCAATGTTTGGGATCCCCACCTAGAATGGAACTTTCCACCGCCAACGACGAACTAAATATTTCCTTCCCCTCCTCCAACCCTTCTGCCCGTTTAACCATCATAACTTTTGGCCTGAGATCACACCATTACGCGCGCTCCCAACTCAATTCTCCCTAATCCTATGAACTTCGGAGATAGAAACTTCTCTATCCCTCCTTCTTTCTTTAATTCTCTCCATTGACATCATTATCTTGTCTGTCTACGGAGCTGTACGGGGCGGAAGCCTCTCACGCGATCGCGAATACACAGAGTACCAGGAGCAACAAAAACAACCGCCAAAACGGCGCCTACCGAGCAACAGCAGGTCTCCGCGGCTAGCGGGGGCGCAGTGTCACCACCACCCAAATCACCGACTCAGACATCCGCAATGCCAACCACAAACTCTCCCCGCGGAATGGCTGGCCTAACCCGGCCCATCATGCAGTCCATGCCCGACACACGTCAACAATCATTCGATGAGATCTATGGCCCACCCGAGAACTTCCTCGAGATAGAGGTATGGGTCTTTCCTTGAGTGCGAACGCAAGCCAGCAAATCAATGCTACCATTCTTTTTCATCGTCGTTCTGTCTTTTGGGGGACGCTACGCGACGCGATAACCTAGCCATTTTACAACGAAATAGACAGATTGGGCAATAATAGGCATCTAATCGGGTGATAGGTCCGCAATCCACGCACTCATGGCACTTCGCGCAACATGTATACAGACTACGAGATCGTATGCCGGACCAACATCCCAGCTTTCAAGCTGCGTCAGTCAACAGTGCGGCGCCGGTACAGCGATTTCGAGTACTTCCGCGATATACTTGAGCGCGAGAGCGCCCGCGTCACCATACCTCCACTTCCTGGGAAAGTCTTCACGAACCGCTTCTCCGACGACGTTATCGAGGGCCGTCGCGCCGGGCTCGAGAAGTTCCTCAAGATTGTCGTAGGACACCCGCTCCTTCAGACCGGGAGCAAGGTCCTAGCAGCATTCGTGCAGGGTGAGTAATTTAGACTCCACCCTTTCTTTACTTAAATATGGTTTTGCTCCGCTTGGCTCCCATTGTGTGATATGGCGAAATGTAAATAGCCCACCTCTCCCTGAGGATAGCTCCGGACGAGTTATGTGTTTACGCGGAAAGAGCTAAATTCAGGGCACTCCTGCACGGCTTTCGAGATACTGTGTTGAGCCACATAAAAATAATTCAGCTGACTTGCTTCTACAGACCCTAATTGGGACCGCAACGCCTGGTGACTGCGTCTCTTCGACTCGTTCACGAACAACAACGGGTCGCAGATACCCGGCGGCCGTCGTACGCCTCGAAAGTTAAAAAAACGGCCACCGAAACAGCTTATAGGAACCCATTTGCAAAGGGTAGCGTCAAAACGGAGCAGCTGGGAGACTGAAACGACTTTACGATGCTAATGATCAAGGAGGCACTTGAGGGACTACCTTACTTTGGTGAAATGAGATTGGACAAGGAGGGAATATTACGCGTAAAATTATCTCATGGCACTCACATGAGTATCCCTGCTACTGAAGGCCCCACACGCACATGATGGTTAAGAAACAGGCTATGGAAAACGGCGAGAAAAGGGAGCAGGTAAATCTCATCAATCTCATCAATCTTATCGATGCTATTACGATTTCTCTTTTTGCGTTTTCATAATCGCCCCTGGCTATACCTACCCATATCGATCCCTACGAAGGCAACCAGCTTCCTTCTCAAAGCCTGTAAATTGCAGGCGCTGTACAGTCGACTTTTGTACTTCTTTTCTTGCCCCCTTTTTATGTACATCCATATTAAAATCAAACATACCTACTTAATCGTGTTGTCTAGCTTGTCACTAAACTAATGACACCAGAGTTCATTCGACAGCACTCAATGTGTCATCAAGATATCCTTTTCCTACCTCATTACCATCCTTCATGCCTCGTAAATCACAAGAAGGGATATCACATCTCATTTACTAGTCGCTTTTTGACTAGGAATTGTAGGAAATGGAAAAGGAATGACTGGACATGGCACAATAGCCCGATGAAACATCATTTCGGAAGAGAAGGCGAGAAAGGGTCGGAATTTGGGATGGCTGGCAAGCCTCATGTGACTTTGAGTACTCGACTGTTTGGTAGTTAACGCTTGGATTTCCGATTACTTTAGTTTTTACAGAGCCATTTCGTTAAAGTATCAATACGAGCATACGCATTCGTAGAACTAATGATGTCGGTATCTATTTCGTTTTAATGTAAGGCGAATCCTTTGATGCCCAATTTTATGGAATTTAATAACGGATCTTATTTATAAAAACAAGTTGTAAAATAAAAACCTGGATAATATTGTCATTTCAACTCCGTTTTCCAAAGTTGCAAGCATTCGTATCAAGAATATTCGCGGTCAAAAGTTGGTTGCGGTATACTTACCCATACTATGCGGCTCTAAGGCCAGTGCGGTCTTAGCACCCGTGACACTCTCAACCTCAATCCAACCATCTCAGATCCCCCACCAACCCCCCCCCCCCCTTTCCTAAAAATGGCAGCATCCCTCCCCTACCACGAACCCTCCATCACCGAAATCCTAACCCTCTCGTCATTCCTACTAGCCCTCAATGCAGTCAACGCATTCCTCGACAAGACGCTCTACTGCGGACTGGTGGGCCAGGTCCTGCTCGGCGTCGCGTGGGGCACGCCCGGGGGCGGGTGGCTCTCTGCTGACGTGGAGCGCGCGGTCGTGCAGCTCGGGTATGTTGGGTTGGTGTTGATTGTTTTCGAAGGTGTGTAGTACGCCCCTCACTCACCCACCCACTCACCCACACATACATACATACATACATACATACATACATACATACATTGCGTAGGCAGGGCTGACCGCGAGCGAGAGCAAACAGGCGGTCTCTCCTCCTCCCTCTCCCGCATGCAGTCCAACCTGCCGCTCTCCGTCTGCGTGGCGCTAACCGGCGTCGCCGCGCCTCTCGGCCTCTCCTTCGCCTTGCTCGGCCCCAGGCTGCTCGGCGCATCCCCCGTGCAGGCGTTTGCTGCGGGCGCGGCGCTGTGCTCGACGAGCCTGGGGACGACGTTTACGGTGCTCGGGACCAGCGGGCTGGTGGGTACGCGGCTGGGGAGCGTGTTGACGACGGCGGCGATGCTGGATGATGTTGTGGGGCTGGTTATGGTGCAGGTTGTTGCTAGTTTGGGAGGAGGAGGAGGAGGAGGAGGAGGATCTTTCGAGGCGGTGACGGTGGTCCGCCCTGTGTTGGTTTCGGCTGCGTTTGCGGTTGTGGTGCCGCTGGCGTGTCGTTGTGTCTTGCGCCCTGCTATGAAGTACCTGACTCCAATGTGTGTCGAGGAGAAGAAGACGCGAAGGGCCTCGTCGCTGCCGTTGTTACGGGAGAGGCATGTCGCATTTGTGGTTCACACGTGTCTCCTTCTTGCCCTGGTGGTTGGTGCTAGTTACGCGGGCGCTTCGGTACTTTTGGCGGCTTATCTCGCGGGTATCACGATCGCGTGGTGGGATGCAGAGGTAGAGGCTGTCGGACCGAGCTCGAGCTCGAGCCCGAGCCCGACTGTGGTGGTAGATAATAGTGAACCTACGGGGGAAACAACCGCAGATTCTAGAAGAACGCTTTCTACGACTGCATCTCCGGAGCGGGAACCAGGTTCGGATGGTGATGATGCCAACGCTTTAGAAACGGATTCTGCAACAAGGCAAACCAGAGGTGGCGAGAGCAGGATCACGGGAGCTTTAGTCTATGAACATTACTATTCGCAGACTGTTGAGCATATCCTGAAGCCCTTCTTTTTCGTAAGCTATTCATTCATTCATTCATTCATTCATTCATTCATTCATATATCCATCCATTCATCTACACACCTCAATCTTTCTTCCCGGCTAACCAACTCAGGCATCCATCGGCTTCTCGATCCCTGTATCCCAGATGTTCTCCGCATCCATCCTCTGGCGCGGCATCGTCTACACCATCCTCATGATAATCGGCAAGCTGGTCTGCGGGGCGTGGCTGGTGCGATTTCCCATATCCCTAAGCACAGCCGGGAAAGGGGTAACCACTCGGTATCACGCTTTCCTATCCATGATTCGGAGGCGCGGTTCGGCTAGCAATAAACAGCAAGAGAGGGTCGAGAATGTCAATACCGATGACAGACGAGATGATACGAGGGAGGAAGCACAGCAGCCACCACCACCACCTCAGCCAAGCGCTCCAACAACACAACCCCCAATCCCACCCGCAAAGCCACTATCCCTCTACCCAGCCGGTATCCTTTCATTCGCAATGGTAGCGCGGGGCGAGATCGGCTTCCTAATCTCCGCCATCGCAGAAAGCCACGGGATCTTCCGGAGCGCGTCCGAGAAGCAGCAGCAGCAGCAGCAGCAGCAGGAAGGGGGCTCGGAAACAACAACAGCAGCAACCTCGGAGCTCTTTTTGATAGTCACGTGGGCGATAGTGCTGTGTACCATTGTAGGGCCGGTTTGTGTCGGGCTGTTGGTTAAGAGGATTAAGAGGCTTGAAGGGAGGAGAGGAGAGGCTGTAGGCGGCGACGGCCGGAATGTCCTGGGTGTTTGGGGGGTAAGCTAGGCAGAGAGGGCACGATTACTGCGTGGTAGACACATACATAGCTGGTACATATATGTATAGGTACCTACGTACTACGGTCACAGTATATGCGATTCCGCAGAGTGGTCATTTCAAGTTTCGTCCTATTCTCCTTTTCTCGTACTACGTACAGTAATTCATCCCATCTGCCACGCACTTTTTTCTTCCCTATTTTCCTGAACTCCGGGAATGCCATATGCTTTGGCCAACAGATCGTGACTACCAATCATACCTCATGTATATCTGCGATTGAGTCAACTGCCCTATACTAGTAGGTAGTCAGCTGATCAGCCGCCCCCGACCAAATTTCAGGGTAAGTTCTCTTTCTCTCCGACCACTTGGTCACCCATTTCTTCATATGGTACATTTCCTTGTTCATTTTACTTTGATATACAATACCAGTGGTGGGATTCTGTTCCCTACACAATGAGTGTGTTGGTGTGTAGGTTTGTGCATCGATAGAAACTGGTAATAGGAGTTGGGTAGTTCCTTTGAAAGCTCGCAGAGCTCTCTCAATGGTACATGGATGCGTGACCAGTATCAAATGCACCGTCTATAACGAAGCAGGTTATTTGTGGCAGTAAGCCACCTCCCAAATGCCACACACTCGCAGTACCGGTATGATCACGGTCATGGTAGACACATTCATCCCACCTCCTTTCCAGTTTTCTCACCGTTTATAACGACCCGAGTCATCTGGGAAGGAGATGTGGTTACATGGGCTAGAATCCTCTAGCTCTTTGTGCTGAGAAGTTTGAGTATGCCCTCGTACATGCCAAACATGATGGCAGCTGAGGGAATTGTGCGCATAAGGTGAGGAGTTAAGCCGCCATATAGACCGACGAAACCCTCCTCCTTCCAGACGAGCTTAAAGCACTGTACAAGCCCCGTATACTTAGGTCTCCCGTCTCCTACCGGTGCTTGTCTTAGACGGGTCCTCGCAACCTATAGTCCAACTTGTTAGTATTCTCCTCTACATGATAACCTTTCCAGCTCCAAGTCCAGACCCCCTGTTGATGAATTACTCACCTCATGTGGATATGTCAAAATAGCTGCCAGCCCCTTGGCAGCACCGGCGCCCATGAAATTGCCTGTCCAGTCAACCGTGTGGTCCCACCAGTCCTTCACCTTTCCGCTCTGCACAATGTGTTCCTCACGTAATCGCAGCTGGCGCTTGAGCTCCTCGTACATCATCCATTGCAGCGTGCTTTCAGTAACGCCGAGGTAGCTTGCGCTGAGGCCCTTGAAGAAGCCACGGGGCCCTTCATCTCGCAGCACCTGGCGAATGCAGTCCCAACTATTACGATAGCGGCGCGCGCTCACATCGCCCTTCTTCTCGGCATTGTTCTTGTCGAGCTGTAATCGCGTCTTGATAAGCCAAATCGGATTTGTGGCCGTTCCTGTCGCAATCCCTGCCGTTACCGCACTGATGAGGTGTATTCCTGGGTTATCCGGAGATGCGCCCGTCCACTGCGAATAGGCTCGCTTGCCCGTTCCGTATACATAGAATGTGATGCTTCGCGCCGGTATTACTCCCAACAAATTGGGCCCCAGGCCTTTGAACAGGGCGCGCGAACCTTCTATGCGATGTACGTCGCGAAGGATCTGAAATGTTTCTTGTAGGTGATAAGTGGCAGTGCGCCATGGGCCAAGTCGCGCCATGCCCGTCGCTTCTCGCGCAGCTCGGAGTTGGGCCTGGTAGAAGTCGGACTGAAGTCGAGTTTTCAAAACGTCGAGAGGAGCAGTCAGGATGGCGGCGGTCATGCCTCCCACGCTGAAAGAGTAGCAGTGGTTAGCGCAAAACTCGAGAGACGTTGTGATGACTTTAGCAGGAATGGTAGCGGACGTACCCTCCAGCAACTAGATGTGGCCAGGACTTGGAAAAGGGTGATGGTTTGGTCACCGAGACTTCCGGAGTTGCGAGACCTAGCTCCCGCGATTGTGGGAGAGGCGACTGCTGTGGCTCGGGCATTGTGCCCTTGCGACGTTCCTTGGCGTTGTTCATTGTGTATGCTGCATGGGATGGCGACTGAGCCATGGTTGCTGGTTATGGAGATCACAGCTAATGATGGCTTGGTAAGTGTGGTAGTATGGTAGTGTGGTAGGTGTGTAGATTAGATTAGATACGGAGCACAGAGGCAATTTTGATCAGATCTAAGCTATCGTGACTCCATCAATTGAATGAAAATGCCAAAGAACAATACCAAGTTTGGTGAAAAGCCAAATGGTTCTTGTCAAATTATGTGATCGAGTTTGAAAATTGTAAAAATGGATTGCATGTGGTAAAGTGACGACGTCAAAGACTGTGTGTAATTACTTTTTGACTTTTTTATTTTAAACTTTTTTCCCACTTCACTGTTTAAATTTTTGAATTTTATATTTTTTTAATGGGGACCTACTTATCTATGCGGCGCCACATTTACATGTGGTCTTCTTATCCCGCTGTCTTGTCGCGCCAAAATTTTAGCGCGCTGAGTAGTTACTACTAACTTACTAGGTAGCACTGTGTAGTGTGTACCTATGTATTGTACATGGAGCATGAAGCATGGAGCATGGAGCATGGAGCATGGAAATTTATTAAGTGGATACATAGTACCCTCTGTCCATCAATGATAGCTGACATTTCCCACTCGCCAGGTATTCGGAATTTGGGGATGCAGGCACAACCAGGTCAGGCCAGACATACACATGCACACCTGCCCTAGGTACCTATATATATAGTAATAGGTACAGAACCCCTTTTCAACCCCTTCAAAGTTCTCAAAATTCTCAAAATTCTCAAAATTCTCAAAATTCTCACATACCTAGGTTAGGTACATAATGCAATATGAGTTGTAGTTTACTTCAAAACTTCCAAGTTTTTCAACTTCAACCTTCTTATATAGACACCTACCTGGTACACAACTGTATATACATCTAATAAAAATGTACCCTCCTTTTAAAATTCATCTATTCGGAATGGTGTTGACTTCCGCGAGAGATCGCTGCAGCATCTGCCGCCGCCGATGCAACCGATGCCATATGGCTGAGCATCGAATTATGTTCCCTAAATACACCACTGGGCAACTCTTTCCGGGCATATTCTTGTCCCTGGCGTATATCTCGTCCATCTAGCTCCATACTCTCGTGTCTACTGCTGGTCGACTCTGGCCCCTTTCTCCATACATCATCCGCAGACCTACCAATAGCTATTCTTGATCCTGACCTGCTTATATTAACTTCATCGCCTCGTTCCAGCTCCCTACGGCGGTCTCCAAAGTCAGGGTGAAATTGGGATCCGAATCCGCTTCTGTCGAGATCCCTTGGTTCGTCTACATCCTCTCCTCCATCACCGCTAGCCTCTCTTTTCAGCCATGTGACCTCTTCCTCCGTCAAACCCTTCCAGACACACCTTGCGTGCTTTTTTGTACATCCTTGGCAGGCAGTTAGGTGCTTAATACATTGCGTCTTGAGCCTTCGGCACCTATCACATGGTGGCTGTATGGCATCTCCACGTGCCAATTTTTCAATTTTAGCTGTGACTAGGGCGCGATGCTCTTCTTCGATATCCCTTACTCCAGGCTCAGTCGAATAGCCGGGCGATGGCCGGCCGCTACCCAGCAAACTTTGCTGCTGCATCGAAGCCCGCGGTGTCGATGTTGCTGTGCCTATCGCATTCGGTGTTGGTGGTACTGAGCCAACGGAAGAAATTCGATGGCTAGACGGTTGTGAGGGGGCAAGGAATTGTTGGAGGAGATCAGCATGTAGGTCGTAGCCTGGATTGCTCCCAGAACCTATGGACTGATTTACGGCTTGGAAGCTAGGTCCTGAAGTCGATTGCGACGCCGCACGACGCGCCTGTATCGATGCTTTTCGTCCGCTCAGGTGATAGTTCAGTTGGCGAGCCCTCCGTGCCACTTCATCTGCTTTCTTGATTAATACTTGTAGACGTTGCTCGACGATCTCGAGAGTCGCTAACTCCGCCGTCTCATCCTCCTCTAGGGGCTGTGGTGGCACAAGCTTAAATCTATCAAGGGCGCCAGAGACAATAAGTCTCCAGTCATCCTCTCCTATTTCAACTTGGACACCCTTCAAGGGAAATTGACAGCAACGCGTGCCATTATGAGTAGGCGTGAGGACGAATTCTCCCGGGTTTGCCTTGGAAAATTCTACGATGTCGAGCCACGTGACAGGGTCGGAAGCAAAGACTGTCTGCGACGGAGTGGTCGTTATCGATCCCTCAAAAGCTCCCTCCATCGCCTTCAGCAGACGACTACCTGCCAACTTTGCGCCCAAATTGGCCGCGAGACTTTCATGTCGACTCAATACCCCTAGACATATGTCAGTACTCATATATGCAAAATGCAATGGGGACTATAGGCATTGGTTACCCTCGTACTCGTTGACCAGGGCCAGAACATCGGAGAAGGTATCGCTTTCGCCCTGGATAAGCCTGAGCTTTACTGGATGGGCTTTGGATAGATAGTTTATAAGGGCTATGTTGCCTTAATTATTGGACGGTCAGTACTTGCTTACAAGATCGATATACACGGGTTAATAAACGGAAAACGGTCCATGGTTTCTTGGCATCTCGTAGAAATAATACACCATGCATGGATGAATAGAGATACAATAGATAAGACTGAAGATTTTTTGGCAACCGGTCAATCTAACGGCCTCAAGTTAGGAGGTCAATGGTAGATATGAAACAAGCCATGCCTAAATCCAGGCCTTACGTACAGAAACCATCTATAGAGGAGTAGGAGTGTATGAGTGTGTATGGATTGGTGGGTAGATGAAGCTTACCTGACTGAGGCGGAGGAGGTTGTGGTATACGGTCAGCATGGGGTGCTTGACTGCCATTATCATCAGATATATCTCGTTTCCGTTTATGTTGATCAGGGTCTTGACTGTGCGCCATGCTGGCTAGCGCTTCCCACCCCTGGGGAATTTACAGTGCGTCTTTTCAATACTGGTGAGTCTTGATATACGATATGCTCAGCAGCTCTAAAAATGACTGAACGACCCGCCCAATTAATTCCGTCAACAGCCAACCAAGGTAGACATGTGTGAGTACTAGGGTATACCACTGAAGGAGTGGGGAATCGCTTGATGTTGCTATTTCTGTTCAAGAACTTGCGGAGGTGGCGTGTGGAGGTATCATGAAGACAGCAAACAACGGGAAGAGGTTTTATTAAGAATTATGGCTCTGATTTGCGAAAGTCCCAAATGCAGCACGCAAGCTTCTAAGTCTGGTCTGTCGAGATTTGGAAGTCCTTTAAAGCTCAATGGCCGTCATAAAATAAACCTTTTGGAGTCGTATGCAGCAGACAGCTTCAGATAAAATATACGGTCGAGGATGAATGAAGTGGCAAATTATGTAGGTGACGAATGGGAGAAAGGGTAGTAGATAAGTAAGTAGGTATGGAGGGATGGGTGAATAGATATACGCGTGTGGTTAAGGTAAGCAGGTGAGTATGATACCTACTCAGCCTCGACGCAAATAGAAAAGACGGAGAAAGCTACCGTGTGGACGCGCAGGCTGAACAGGGGATTTTCGGGAACTGGGGTGGATTCGATTGACGCGGGGCTCGCGATATTGTACATACATATCGATCTTTACTACGGGTAAGGGAGTATGAAGTTGAGAGGTAAAGATAAAGGTAGAGGCAGAGGCAAAGTAAGGTAAGGTAAAAAACGGAACGAGACCCCAGTAATATGGAGAAATATGAAGAGGAAGTTCCTTTTTCAAAGTGGCATGTTCAATAGTTGGAGTGAATACCTATACAGGTATGGTATGTATGATATGTGTGGTAGGATATGTATATGTATGTATGTAAGTAGTAGCCAAGTAGTCGAGTAGTAGTGATTTGACGGATATGTGCTATACCTAATACTAAATTGATGTAGGTTAGTAGGTTTAAGCAAGTAACCTAGGTACCTAGTACAATTAATAGCATTGAATGAAATGTATAGTCATGTATGTCTGGTGTTCGATGTTATGTATCCATGATCCATGAACATTGAATGTCAAACTTGAATGACAATGGATGTACTGTGTAGGTAGAATGTGAAGAATAGAAAACCGCCCACAAGAATTTAGGGCGGCAGTTTGCTAGTAAAGGTCCACTCAAGATGCCGCGAATTCCAGAGTGGGTATTAACTATATGTGTACCTACCTTGTACCTACATATGTACATATGTATGTATGCCAATACTTCAATGTTATAATACTAGGGGTTTCTAAGATTATATGGTTTACATAGGTGAAGGAGCCAACCCGTTAGTTAGGTAATCTTTAGCTACTTAACTATTTGTTTTAGCCTTTTTTTGGTTTTTATCTTCAATATTAACTATGTACTTCTTATTTGAGTATAATAGCACACTCGCTTTAGTGTTCCTCGAGTCTGGTCAACAACTCGTTAAACTTCAACGTCTTCAGACTCTTTTTGGACCGTTCTTGAACCCCTCGCTACAATATGACTCTAGCCACATCTAGGACAAGATCATCGTCGTTGAGATTTTTGCTATTTTCTCTGGGTTTGCCTGATTATGTGATTCTATGCCGCCGCACAGAACAAGGTAAAGATCGACGTGCCACACCCCCTTGGCGTTGAAACCAGCCTATGGCGACTGATTTGTGGTGCATCGCTAGACTCGACAAAATTTTGGGATGGATACGATCTGTAGCAGGCATGTTGCTTCGGGCTCTCTTCACAACTCAACGTTTCATCTCTGCTCTCAGCTACAAACTGACCACTAACATGCTGACCTTCAATGTTGTTAAACAGCCTACATATTCGTAACAGTAGGTGGACAAAGACTACCTGCCTATAAGTATACACTTCAAAAGGCATATGTATGGAATATGTATGGATAGAAGAACGAGAGAAACAGGCAGCGTGTTGATAGACAATAGGCAATGCCCCGCACCCAACATTCAGCCATGACCGGTTCCAATAGGGATTTTTGGGTTTGGAATGTTTGACAGTCGGCGTCTTCAATACCTAACGAATGTGATATTCTGGTATACTCTGCAGCTGTTTTGATGATCCCTGGGAGCCGCTAGAGTAGATAGAGGTGCAACCGAGCTTACATCCCTACAGTTGCAGGAAGCTACCTGGACGTTGCATACAGCCCGCTAGTTGTCCGTCGGGTCTCCCCCCTCCACCCCTTAGAAATGTTAGAGTGTACCCCTCCAAAAACAGCCCAAAGTTTCACACAAGCCACATCCACAGGGCACAGCCAAGGACAGAACAGTTCCAGAACAAAATGAAAATTATCCCCCAAAAAAATAGTTAATGTCTCTTCATTAATCTTCTGCTTTAGTTATTTGCCCCTCCTTCACAATAGCCTTGTCGATAAAAAGTTCCACTTTATTAGCTGTTAAAAATATTTAAAAATTGAACTAAAAAATTAAAAATATAGAAAAAGAAAAGCAATTTAACTAGGTTAGTTAGTTAACATATTTATTTGCATCCCACATATTTCCATGATCGACGGGCAAAAACTTGCGAAATAATCCGAGATCTTATCACGTTACCTTACCTTACCTACACTATCCTACAGTGTATATACCAATCATACTACCTACCTAGTAACACCAAAATCTCCAATCTCGAATTGCGGTTTTCTTTCTTTTGAACACACCCAGTGAACACACCCAGTGCTGTCTTTTAACAGACCCTACACGTATTAAATCCCGAACAACATAACAGAAACGCGAAGAACCCGGCCCGAGTTATTCCCTATAATATTTACCAACACCCGACGATAACCTCACCTAATCTCTATTTCCCCCTTCATCGCCCGCCCCGTTGCAACGGTAAGCGTACTAGCCTGCGACACTGCTACGTCACCGAACGGTCCAGACCCTCATAATCCCCTATCTCTGCATCCGTTCAGCTTCCGATACTAGTCATTCCTTCAAGCGAATCTGGTCAATAACATCCTTGACCGAATACTTTTTTTCCTACCGGTGCAGAAGCCCGAACCACCACCCCCCCTTCTTCGTATTCCGTATCAATTAGAAGATACCCCTTCCCTATAGGGCAGCAGCACATCACCTACACCACCCCCATACCCATACCATACCAAGACAATGGCCGACCGTGGCCATTATCGCGGCGGTCGTGGAAGCGGCGGACATCCCCGCGGAGCGCGGGGCGGACGAGGCGGCGGAAGAGGTGGGCACGGAGCTGACTCGGGCGCTAGCGGTGGCACCCAACAACAAGAGCGGGAACGTCCCAAGAAGGAGAACATCCTAGACTTGGCTAAATATGTAGACAAGAGGATCACCGTCAAGTTCAATGGCGGCCGAGAAGGTATGCCCTTCCTTCCTTCTCTTCTTTTATCCTGCTATGGCTCCCCTTCTTGCATGCCATTGTCAGCATCTATTGCCGACATGGATAGTATATTACATCATCATATATCAGAACTAACCCAGTTCCGAATATGTAGTTACCGGCACACTTAAAGGTTATGACGCACTAATGAACTTGGTCCTTGATGAGGTTCAAGAAGTTATGCGAGGTAAGTTCTACCCCGTCGTTCGCGTTCCCATCTCGGAAGACGACGTCGACGTTCTTGTCACATCCTCAGGCCATGACTAATTTGCATCCTACCTATATAGATGACGAGGGCAAGGAGGCAACGCGGTCCCTCGGCCTGGTAGTCGCCCGAGGTACCCTACTGGTAGTCATCAGTCCAGTAGATGGAAGCGAAGAGATTGAGAATCCCTTTGCCCAACAGGCAGAAGATTAAAATGCCTAGTAAAAACGGTGGCTTCTGTAAGGGGATATCAAAACAGGAAAAGACCGGGCTAGCCAATAAGAGGCCAAAAAACACCAAGTTTAAGATGGCCTTGGGCGGATGGATATATCCGGGAAAATGGACAATTTTGAGATCACGTTGGCCAAACAACTACCACCATGCTTTCTCTACATCTTATGCATCTCTCAGAATGATCATGCCCATGTGATTACCGGTATTCATATCTCGATAGCATGAGCTAAGTTAGTAGCTTATCACCATGACTTTGTATATCTAGGCAGGATAGGTAAGGATTCCAGACCCAACATCCTCTACCATAGTTCCCTACTCGGCCAGATTTCCGGCATGGCGTAAAGTACTACGAATGCCGTAATCTACGTAAAAGTCTTCCATGATGAGCCCCAATTTAGCATATCCTTCTTCGTTGCCTAGTTATATTTCACTGGAATCGGGATCATGCCCAAATAGTATAGGGAAACATAATTAATGAACAGTAAGAGACAGTTTTGCTTGTGTTCTACTTTATAGTTACTTATGGAGATAAAATATTGTTGTTATACTCTGCTTTGGATCCATCATCACCTGCTACTTCCACCCTCCTACCCCTTGCTGATAGCAAAAATCACGGGCCGTGAATGCCCCATATCTCCAACCCTATATTGCTTTCCAGTTGGGCAGATAACCCAGCCAAGGCCCTCTGTCAGATGAGAAACCTGGCTGTTTAAAAAAGCCCAAACCTATAGGTTATAGAGGAATAGCCATAATGCAATCGTTGTTCGATTCTATTCAACCGATACTGAAATATACTCCAATATGGCATACCACAAATATCCTCCAATGCACTAGTCCTAAGGTAATCGTAACACTGTGGCGGATTTACAATGAGATTTATTTGTGGCGTCGGACCAGGAAAAGGGGGGTGATGCGCTTATCGTAGGTACGGAAAGTTGTTGAAGTTATCCGATCTGTACTTTGCCGTTTATTCTACACTCGGATTTCATATCCAGTGTTTCAGTTCTCCTATTTTTAACTCCCGCTTTCTTGTTGAGTTGTTTCTTGAGATTCTGCCCTCAAAGGCCGCGCGCTATACCTGCTATGCCCAGCAGTGTTATTACTACCCAGTTTTTCTACCGGGTCTTGTACGTTTTCCCAAATTGGAATTCGTTCGTCTTCATATTCCGGGAGCCCGTATTGTCTCCGAGCTCTCGGCTGATCCAAGAGCCTCACCACATCTGCCATCTTCTGTCTCCTGGAGTCGGGGAGTCGGGGAAAGATCTATTTGTTGTTCGTAAACGGCAAGCACTTAGATTCTCCTAGTAGCCCCGGCTTGCCTGTGGTTTGTTGCTTGCCTTAAGCAAGTCGCTGAATGCACCCTGGGCCTGCTTCTTCAACTCCTTATACGAAACTATAAAAGTTGACTGATGGTCCCTGCTGGTGAGGTATATCCTCTCATCAACTCCAGCATCTAGCTTGTTTAAGCAGCTGACGATATGTCCGAGATCTACGGATGGATTTCCTTGGGTGTCAACTTGGTGAAAGACGTAATCTCGGAATAGCTTCAAAGTATAGCGTTCTGAAGTCTCGGCCCAGTTGGGATCATTATCAAATTCTGGTCGTTCGTTAATAGAGCCTAGCTTCGCCATTAACCTCACCAACCGGCCATTCTCGAGTTCCTTGCCTAGATGAATGGTTGCCTCGTCTTGCGCATTGAAGGACGCCACCAGCACGTCGTCAGCATGCTGGGCAAGGTCATATACCAAATGCTCTGCTGTTTTCACTGACAGGTTTGCTGATGGGGTAAGTAGCCAAGATATCCTTTCCTTCAGCTCTGGAGAGTAAGTCCTACCAAGTTGCTCTAAAGGCAGTCGTAAGTCGCCAAGGTTTCGTAGAGGCGTGTTACTCGCAATGCTTAATAGGAGCCGGCCCAGGTTGAAAAAGTCTTCTTGCTGCAGTTCTTCGATCCGACGAGGTACTTCAAAGTGTAGTACGTCTAAGATTGAGCACGCACTAAGTCTGATGCGGTTTTTATCCGTGAGAATTATCTTGCTGATGTCGATACATCGTGCCGCAAGTTTAGCCTTGTGGATTGCCTTGAGAGCACTGGCAAGCTGCACTAGATAACTCCATAATACCTTCTCAGACACAGGTGCTGGGCGGCCATAGCGGTTGGTGGGAAAGTGATGCTCTGCTAGTGTCTTTGACAAAGGGTGGTAGCCGTGAACAAATACAAGGGAACTATCATTAAAATCTCTTGTAGTGAACGCTTCGATCGTTGTGACTATATTGGGATGTATGATCTTCTTCCACGAGTTCACGGCTTTGATTGCCTCCTCATTGGTAAGGCGGAATCCTGTCATCGACTTAGTATAAAATTCACTTGAAGAATTTAGTGGGAAAGAAACAAAACCAACCTTCGATTCGTCTTAGGCAAAATGTGTTGCCATTTTTACGAGAAGTTGCTTTGAACACCCAGCTCGAAAGGCCAAAGGTGCTCGTCGTACTTCTGATCTTAGTGTCTAAAGGCACGAGAGAGTGATAATGCTGGAGGGAAGGCAGCTGCACCCCAGGCTGGCTCGGGAGTACCTGTCTAGCAGCCTCTGACTTCTTTTGAAGTTCTTCTCTGACGGATTCGGGAATAAACAAGTCATGAACTTGTCGCTGGTAAGGCTGTAGGTTCTCCCTCCCTGAAGTGATGGGATAGTAGAGATGGTATTGGAGCTGGGGGGCAATTAGACAGAAATCCAAAAGGGAGAGCACTTGCGACAAAATCTTACAGGTTGGGATGGAACTGAATACGAATTTTGAGCCGTGAAATACGACGCACCAGCTCCGGTTAACGCATTATGATCTTCGGCATAGGGATTGTACTGTGCGGAAGGAAGTGCCTGGCTGACACTAGACATAGTGAAAGGATCATAGTTAAGCGATCCTGCATCTGTTGAACCATTGGTTGGGGTCTGCGCTTTGTCAACCTTGTATCTTCACGTAGGTTCTCTCAGTAACTTACTGCCGTGTTCAAGTCATAATTTTGAGGAGCAAAATCAGCAAAAGGTGCTGGTTTATATAAAGAGGCACCGGTATCTTGTTGCAAGGCTGAGGCTGTCGCTGTCGCAAAATTGTGAGTGCGTGTATGAATGGACATCAGTGTCTAGGCTTACTTACATGTAGCAGCCCCCCTGGGTGTGAATGGTGTGGCATTCGTTGAAAAGTTGGTTTTTTTGCCCCCAAGCTGGGTAGGGGTAAATGACGGCGAGTCAACGTTTAAAGATTTTTTAGCACTCCTATTAGGCAGCAAATTAGTAAAAATATCGTCCCAATTTCGCAAGCCACACGTCTCTTCTGGGCTCGTTTGGTTTCTAGGGATAGGTGCTGAATATCTCCTGGGCTGCGGCAGGGGAGAAAACGGAACACTTTGGCGTCCTTCATGTGGTGGCCGGACGAGACCTTGGGCCGATTGAACTGAAGATGTCAAATATTTTGTGTGAGAGGCTAAAGCTGCGCTGTGTTTCTTGTAATCCTCATGATCCCATGAGTTGGCCGGAGAGCGGAAACTAGTAGGGTTAAGATTCCCAGCATTCGAAGGGGATAAAAAGGGCGGCCAGCTACTAGCTAATGGGTTCAGTGTGCTGGTCGGGGAGCTCCTAGATTGCCAATGACCAGGCACGGTTGGGGATGGTGGTTGTGCCGTCGACGATATTGGTTCCGTCCGAGCCAGAAGTCTGCGTGCTGGCGAGACATTGCCCACCATTTGTTCGGCGCTGGTTGATTCGTGCATTGCTTATGAAAATCTGCATCCCCATTCATCGATTGTAAAGCCTGATAATTGGTCGAGGACTAAGGTGACAGAGGGGTGTTGGAGGGGTTCCTTCATCAACACGGTTGGTAATGCCAGGACAGTCTAGACAAGACCTCTAGTAGATTCCTTTCAATAAAGGAAAAGATGCCAGTGGTGTCCTGAAGCATTACTTTGAAGGTCGATTGGATTTTGAACTAGCCCACTTTTCTACGTTTTCCCATTGACTTCCTCAGGATCTAACTGGACTTGGCCGCGGGAATTTCATTATAGTAGTGGAAGCTAGCCAGGAATACCGGATACCGCGTTGGGATAGATATGGGAAAGTAGGGTAGCAAGATGAGGGAGGTAACTTACGCGTCCATTGAATTGGGATTGCCCTTGTCGTGGTTGAAGGCGCAGCCCTGATCTTCATAACGGCAGTGGCCGTATATTAAAACGTTCCGACAAAGTGTTTCCTTAGTATCTAAGGGGTAGGTTCCTTACATGTTAGAGGCAAGTTACATATCATTGATACGGGTACCAGTAACAGCACCAGCAGCAGGCGTGACCACGGCAGATATATCAAGAATTGAGGGGGGAGGTGAGGGGGGAGGTGAGGGGCAGGGGGGCTGAGAGTTCTTACCACGCGTCTTAGGTCTTGGGGAGGCCATCTGCCTCCCTCTATCGGCAGTGCCGAAGCGCGTATTCGCCATTTGTATCGAGTCGATGTTGCAGGTTCTCGTGTTCTCGTCATGGAGTAGTTGCGATGAGATGTGTCAGGCGGGGAGGAAAGTAGATGCCGCCCTTATCGAAACGACCCCTACGCAAATTAATAATCGTTCAGTTATTCAATGTTCTATTCCATTCCCATAGCCAACTACTACTACATCGAGGGAGAGGGAGAGGTGGAGTGCCACGTACTGAACACCTCAAAGCGCTCCCATTTTTCTCGGGAAGAAGGGCGGGAATACTCGCCCATGTAACAAAATAAGACGCGTAGTATAATTGGTTAATGGCGGTTCAGTTTTTGAATATCAATTGGTACCTCCAAGAGGCGGGTGTGAGGCCGACGTTAAGGGTACAAAGAAAAAAAGATGCAAACTTCAATTAGAATTGAATGTAGTGAGGTTCAAGGGTTCCAAAGGTTCCAAGGGTTGTATGTGGTGGGATGACGGCGGATTACTAAGAAGGGACAGCATGGCTGATTGGCTCCGGCGTCCTACATAGATGCCAAGATTTCTACCCTCAGCCTTGAGTGCCTACCATGTCTAAAATGTTCCGTGGCTGCAACAATTTCTCAAGTTGTGTGTGACGCTAAGCACTTTGGGGTTAGGCATTTACTCCTTGTGGAAATAGACTTTAGAAGCTGAAGCATGTTACTGCCCCGCATGAGATGCCTTAGTCCTGATGGGGTAAATATGTAATTATGAGAAAGAGAACAAGGTTCCAAGCTCTACTGTTTCCCCAACTCTAAATGGAAATCAATACATTTCCTTAGTAATTTATCAATCCCCCCGGTCGGCCCCCCAAATGAAGGTGAGGCCCACACTTTTGTCGTCACTTCCGATGCAATTACCTCAGCAGCTGCTCAGTCTTTAATGCATACATATAACTAACTACCTAGTATACATTGTACCACAGTACATCTGTACAATCTACACACATACATCTGCCATGATGTCCATCACATCGGTGGGTCCAACATCAATCTGAACACGGAATCCTCACCAGTTCTCATCAGTTTTCTTCCACATAATCAGTATTATTCCTTCCATTAGATATTATTCGGACCAATACCCGCGGCTGGTGGCATTTTATGGTTGCAGCTGTTGCTAGTACAACCTATGACGAGAAGGTGCTACGTAATACTTGACTCGAACTGTTGAGGCTGAAATCTAGAACTGTACCTACAGTATTATACCTACCTACATAAGTATACTCACATATACAGCATTGGACCGGTCAAAGCTCTATCCCAGGTACCTAGTCACTGGCTCTTTCTTTTGAGACAAGGAAGAACTACTACTCAGAGGTATATAACTCACATGATCTATGGGGCCTTGATCTCAAACTTATAAAGCCACTACACGGTCGGTTGTGCATATTTCCTGGACAGTATGACAAGCAACGGCGACATCGACATAAGTCAGCTCTCTCCGGACCAGCAGTCCGTTTTGGAGCAGTACACCCAGGTCACAGCGCAAGACATCAAGGACGCAGTACCCTTATTAGAAAGATCGCAATGGAACGTCCAAATAGCAATCGCCAAGTTTTTCGATGGCGAGGGTCCCGATCCGGTGGCGGAAGCTGTGGCCGCTCAAGATCATATCCCACGACAAGCTGCGAGACACGAGAACTTACAAGAGAGTTTTGAGATGGCACCGCGGCCCGGGCGATTACCGCGAGCCAGACCAGATCCTGCACCAAGGATCGTACCGCAACCTCAAACGACCCATCGCCCTCCATTCCTCCTTGCTATCCTGTTCGCCCCATTCAACTTCGGATATCGAGCATTCTCGACCTTTTTCCGCACCTTCATGTACATATTTGCCTTCCTTCCCCCTTCGATACGGCCCCGAGCTATAACCACAAATATGACGAGGGGGTGGAAAGGCACGATGGGTCGGCGCATGCTTATGCCCCGTGATACAGCTGCGCGGTTTAAGCGGGAGTTCGAGGAAGAGTATGGGAATAATAGCATGCCCTTTTACGAGGGCGGTTTCGCCCAGGCCCTTGATCTTGCTAAGAAAGAGCTCAAGTTCCTACTAATAGTTCTCATGTCGCCCGAACACGACGATACGGAGTCATTCACGCGGGAGACCCTACTTTCGCCCGAGATTATCGCATTCGTCAATGACCCGGCTAATAATATAATCGTTTGGGGAGGCAACGTCCTCGACTCCGAGGCTTACCAAGTCGCTGCTGAGTATAACTGTACTAAGTACCCTTTCTCATGTCTCGTGTGTCTCACCCCTAAAGAGGGCAGCACTCGCATGAGCATCGTGAAGCGTCTTGCGGGTCCTCTGTCTCCATCTAACTACCTCGCTGAGATCCAAACTGCCATCCATAAGTATGCACCTGACCTGGCCGCTGTCCGTGCCGAGCGCTCCGCCCAGGAAGTTGCCCGCAGTCTCCGTACGGAACAGGATTCAGCGTACGAGCGCTCATTAGCCCGTGACCGCGAACGTGCTCGCCAACGCAGGGAGGCTGAGGCCGCCAAGGTTCTAGCCGAGAAAAAAGCTCGCGAGGAAGCCGAGGCAGCCGAGCACCGAGCCCGCCAGTGTGAGCAGTGGAGGCGCTGGCGCACAACCACCATCTCGCCAGAACCAGACGCCAAGGCTGATCCGAAAGACATTGTACGCCTCGCCCTCAAAATGCCCGACGGCGCTTCGTCCGCGGGTAGAGTTATACGCAAGTTTGCTAGCGAAACGACAGTGGAGGAGCTGTACGCATTCGTAGAGTGCTATGACCTACTTCAGAACAGCGAAGAAGCCGACGAAGAAAAGGCGGCGGACAAACCAGAAGGCTACGAGCACCAGTACAAGTTCCGAATCGTCTCGCCGATGCCGCGGGTCGTGTACGAGCCGGATGAGACGGCTACGCTCGGCGACAAGATTGGGCGGTCGGGCAATTTGATCGTGGAGGAGATCATACCCGATGACGAAGAATCTGACGATGAGATAGTCGACGAGAAGAGTCCTTTAGCAGCGGGGGCATAGAGGTGGATACGGGATCTACGACACAGCAATGTAATGTAGCAAATATAATAATTTTATCAGAAAAGTCACCCTCGGAATTTTTGTGTGAAGTGTGAAATACCAAATATTTCATATGTACTCGTCCGTATCTTAGGTATCTATGTAAACATAGTTGAACAATTTAACTAGCAGTCCCCAAGATTTCGAACTATGTCGCCGACACATTCGTCACTTTTTTGCTCATCACTAATTACAAAGACATACAGTTCATATGCTCATTTTTGTCGTGGCCGTTCTAGGTCATACCTTGCAGTCTTCTAGAGACGTTACTTATACATAGAGGCAGGCGTGCTCTCGGTTCCGGGAATCACCAGGTGTTAATATTTATACACAATTTGGTCCTCTCACAGAAAGCCGCTGTAACTCTGTCCCGGGTGAGAACATTAGTTGATAAGCTAAGTAAATTCCACGATACGGAATATATAAAACCTCGACATACCCGAGTATAGGGACCGCAGCGCAGTCTGGTCGGGGAACATAGAGCTGTATTAAGAGTATGAGCGATTTGAGTGCAAACAACCTATTTTTTCTTGGGTATTGTTTACCTGTTCAGCCATCCTTCAAACGATTGCCCCTATCTCCTCGCCACTTCCCTCCCATACGTGCTATAAGCATAAGAGGAACCTGGGGATGCTTTCTGGTAAAGATCGATAGCGGAGACTAAAAATCTATCCGCGAACCCTCCTAATTCTCGTAGCATGGCGCAAGAGTAACTTCTATCTGTACATATCCAACGGCTGTGGTTTCAGTCCGTTATGCTGTGGCTAATGTCCTTGTTGGTTGTCCTTAGCAAACCTCTGGTGGATTCGGGCAATTTGCTCGTCGACATTCACGCTTTGCATGTGATTGATATGCGCCTGGCTCCTACCCTCAGGGTTGCCGTCGAAGCTATTCAACGCCGCTCGCTTTCTTCTCGCCATCTCCTCTTCTGAGATCGGCTGCCCGGTAACTCCATCGAATAGATCTCCTCGTTGGCTCGCGAATCGTTTCAGATTGTTGGCTACATCAGCATGTGACAAATTGGTGGTTGCATATCGCGATTCAGCCTTCGCCTTCTGTTCCTTCCATTGGGGATCAAGTAACTCAATTCGCATATGTGCTTCCAATTCATTCATTGGGATTTGCTGGTGGCAGTTCGGGCAAAGCGCCGTCTGGGTTCCCTGTCGGTTAGCCGCTCGAGCAGCAGCACGAGGAACATAATTCTCCTTAATCTTCATAGGAGCAGCGCCGCCTTTAGCTTCTGCCTGGGCATATTGCATCCGTAAGCGAGCTTCCTCTCTTTCACGTATTCGCAGGTTCTCCTCATCTTCTTGGGTACCGCTCGGCCGTGGTGGAGGGGCCATCTGGTAGGCTGCTTGGGGTGGCGTGGAAGTGGACGGATGAAGTTGTATACCAGTCATTGGCTGTGCAGGGTGGTGAGGAAGATTGTAGTTAGGCTCTGCTGGATACGCGTTGTATGTGTTATCTTCATCTGTAGGCATAGCTTCCTCAATACGCAAGTTAGCACTGACGGACACCTTGGCCTTCTGTTCTAGAGAAGCGTATTGCAAATCGGATAGAGAAGTCGGTGCGGGTAAGTTTGCTTGGTCATCGGCTTCAGTAAAGACGACGGTCTCAACAACAACAAAATCGTGCCAGTCAATTTGGGCATACGACATCTTCTCCTGTTCTTCTTCCTCTTCTTTTTTCTGCTTCTCGCCTTCTTGATGTCTCAACCACTCAGCTCTCTGTTTAGCGCGGCTCAATATGTGGAATTTGTCATCGATATTACGTTGCAACTCGGCGATCCTTTCTTGCTGAACTCTTCCCCCTTCGCCATCTAGTCCACCAGCGCGTAGGAGCATAGAGTATTGATCGATAAGGTGTTGGAAGAAGTTGTGCAAGCTATGGTTTGGCCTCAGGAAGTCGAATTGGTAATTACCGGCCTCCCTTTGGGAGAGAGTGGTCATGAACTGCCTGCCATTCTTGGCAACAAACAGAGCCGTCAGTTTCACAACCTCGAGATCCTGGGCGCTTATGTTGGGCATACGCGCAGAGAATTGAAAGTCGGGAGGTTTAGGAGGGCCAGCAGGTTTCGTCTCGACGACGGCGGCAGCTTCGGCAGCTCGACCAGCAGCGACGGCGGTACCGCGACCCTCTTTGATCTCGCTTAGTCGCCATAAATAGAAGGGATTGTAAGGGTCGGCATTGCTTAGAAAGGAGAATTTAGGATTGTGTTTTTCTTTCTCTCGAATACGATCTTCGAATGCGAGACCATTTCGGGCGACGAAGCCAGCAGTCTTTTCAAGGATAGCTACATATGTAGGTTAGCTCAGCGCGACAAGGCGATGGATGGTGGAACTCACTTCGAAATTCTTTTGGTGGCAAAACAACACCCTGAGGAGGTCTGATATCATCCAGAACGGCGGCTGCATCACCGTTAGTATTCGTAGCCATCTTGATGGCAATGTTGGAGCCTCCCTCAAAGATATAGACGTGACGTGAGCGTGGATATAGAGGTGGAGGTTGCTTGTGTGGTTTTTTAAAAATAAAAAATAAAAAAAGTATTGGTCGAGTTTCGCGCGATGATGTTGCAGTACGAGTTCAGTTAGCTCACGGCAAAATTGGTTTCAAAGCCGACATTCAACCTGGAAACTTTCAACTAGTTACCATGTGGAGACAAAGGATAAACGACAAAGCATAAACTGTAAGCGGATTTAAGGATAATCCGTGATTTTGGCCAATTAGATATTATCGAACCCTTAGCTATTATCTTAGCTATCTTAGCTAGTTATATCTTATATCTTAACTATTAATGTACCTACGGCATTCCTACATATTGTAGTAGAAACTGAATATCACAGCCCTCCGTTATAGTATGTACCTACTTATAAAATATCAATTGATCTCAAAGCTCATTGTTTCAAATGCGGTTCAATGAAAGGAAAGCCATTGCACGGGTACATTGAAATAATCCAATTCTTGACGCTTTATTTTGAATTGGGACAATAGAAACACATGCACCACCCAAGTCATAATATCATTTTATCATTTACATGAGACGTGTACAAATTATACATGCAATGATGCATACATAATCCTCATTTACGGAATTGGGGCGCGCGTTGAATTAGCACGAGCCTAATAAATGTACTTAACTAACTAGAGCTGAATCTTTTTTTGGATCCCCAGAAAAAAGGACCCCAAAAAAAAGTTACCCCCTGTGTCAATCCGCCAAACTGGATACATGTGGATGGCCATTAAGGCCACTGTAGCATCAACCCATCAATTACATAGTACGCGGATGACCCATGCAACTTGGGATGTAGCTACCTAGGGTAGGTAGGTACGACTAAGGCACGATACATAGCAGGTAGACTGAGGTAGTAGGCTATTATAGCACAATACAATATCCTCAGGTACCGGTACTGCTTAGCAGCTAGCCCAGGTACTGGTACTGGTAGCATTAGGAAGTTACATGGAATACCTTAAATAGAAAAAGAAAAGAAAAAAAAGGGAATTGCAAGAAAGCTCAAAAAATAAATCCTAACGCTGTTTGAGCCTTCTCATCATTTTCACCACCCCTTATCCTCCCCTTCAACTTCTTCCTAAATTCATCCCGCCGCCACTTTTGCGACTAAAGGGGGGAGAATATCAACCCTGTCTCTTTGAATGGGATTTTTATTGTCCTACTTGTCTTCTTGTAATTTATTACTTCCTATTTTACTTCTTAACTTTCATTAACCTGTCTGTCAATTTCCTTCTCCCGTCATACTTGTGCGCCATAGCTCACAAAGCTAGCTCTCGTATCACGGGCAAGCCAACTTTCGATGCTAGCACGTCCTCAAAGAGGCCACCTCACCACTTATTTTCATCCTCTCCAGACCCTTCAACATTACCCTTGAGCATTTCTCTCGGCAAGTTCTACAGCAGTTCAATTCTGCACATACCGACCGAAAATGGCGAGGTCCAGTTCGACCAAGCCGCCTACTTCGAAAGGCGGCACGTTTACACCACCCAGGTACAAAAACCAAGTCAGAAAGCGTCACGATGATTACACCTCGGACGGCGTCGAGGATAATGATATCTTCCTCCTGCCAATTTCCGACTATCAGATCATGGTCGTCTTGACCATTCTTGGAGCTCTTGTGCGATTGTTCCGCATCTACCAACCCACCAGTGTCGTCTTTGACGAAGTCCAGTAAGTTCCTATACTCTATACTACCTACACCATGACCACCCACCAGTTTGTACCATGTCTAATACCAGATCTCTCTCTATAGTTTCGGTGGTTTCGCGAGCAAATATATCAAGGGTAAATTCTTCATGGATGTCCATCCACCCTTGGCCAAACTACTCATCACACTCTTCGGCTGGCTCGCTGGTTTCAATGGCAACTTTGACTTCAAAGAGATTGGCAAGGATTACCTGGAGCCGGGTGTTCCATACGTGTCCATGCGATTGTTCCCGGCTATCTGCGGTATACTATTGGTCCCAACTGTCTTTTTGACTTTAAAAGCTTCTGGTTGCCGTACTGCTACCGCTACTCTTGGAGCCGCTTTCATTATCTTCGGTAATGTTTCCCCCAACTTCGTTCAGATACCGTAGAATTTGTACTCATATGTTATAATACAGAGAATGGCCTACTTACTCAAGCCCGTCTAATACTACTCGATGCTCCTCTCGTTATTGCAACCGCGTTCACGGCACTCGCCTTTACATCTTTCACCAACCAGCATGAGCAGGGCCCCACCAAGGCATTTGATGCTAGCTGGTGGTTTTGGCTCGCCATGACCGGTCTAGGAATGGGTGTTACCGTTAGCATCAAATGGGTTGGTTTGTTCACAATCGCCTGGGTTGGTTCTTTGACTCTAGTCCAGCTGTGGGTACTACTGGGCGACACCAGGACTGTCACCATGCGCATCTTTGCGAAGCACTTTTTGGCCCGTGCTTTCTGCTTGATCATCGTCCCGATTACCTTCTATATGGCTATGTTTGCCATCCACTTCGTCTGCTTGAAAAACCCGGGCGATGGCGATGGATTCATGAGCTCTGAATTCCAGGCTACCTTGAATAATAAGGGTATGCGAGATATGCCAGTCAATGTTGCTTTCGGTAGCCGCGTCTCCATCCGACACTGGAACACCCAGGGAGGTTACCTCCATTCTCATTCCCTAATGTACCCGACGGGCAGCCAGCAACAACAAATTACCCTCTATCCTCATAAAGACGAGAACAATGTTTTCCTGTTCGAGAACCAGACTCAGCCGTTAGATGCTAGCGGCGAGCCTATCAATGGTACACTAGCTTGGGACAATGTGGCCAACATAACCGAGAACTACATCAAGGACGGTGACGTTATCCGACTATACCACATTGCTACTCACCGCCGCCTTCATTCTCACGACGTTCGGCCACCAGTCAGTGAGGCCGAATGGCAAAATGAAGTATCCGCCTATGGATATGAAGGATTTCCCGGTGATGCCAATGACTTGTTCCGCATAGAAATTGTCAAGAAGCAATCCCGCGGTGCCATCGCCAAGGAACGGCTTCGTACCATCCAAACCAAGTTTCGGCTAATTCACGTCATGACTGGCTGCGCGCTCTTCTCTCATAAGGTCAAGTTGCCTGACTGGGCATCTGAGCAGCAGGAAGTTACGTGCGCGAAGGGCGGTACTCTTCCCAACAGCATATGGTTCGTTGAAACTAACGAGCACCCGCAACTTGGTCCCGATGCTGAGAAAGCCAACTATGTCACCCCTGGATTCTTCGGTAAATTCTGGGAGTTGCAAAAGGTGATGTGGAGAACAAATGCCGGTCTGGTCGAGTCCCACGCCTGGGACTCTCGTCCAGAATCATGGCCAATTCTCCGTCGTGGTATCAATTTCTGGGGCAGAGATTACCGTCAGATCTACTTGATCGGCAACCCCATGATTTGGTACACGTCGAGTCTTGCCATCGTCGTTTATATCGTGTTCAAGGGTATTGCCATTCTTCGATGGCAGCGTAGCTGCAACGACTACTCTAACGCTACCTTCAAGCGATTCGACTACGAGATCGGGACTTCAGTTCTTGGGTGGGCTCTGCACTACTTTCCATTTTTCTTGATGCAGCGTCAGCTCTTCCTTCACCATTACTTCCCTGCATTAGTTTTTGCCATCATGGCCTTCTGCCAGATTTACGACTTTACAACTGCTCGATTTTCGGTTCCTGGTATCAGAGCGAATCCCATCATCAATAAGGTCGGTGTCATTGCGCTCTTGGCCATCGCTGGAGTCGTATTCGCCCTCTACTCTCCCCTCGCATACGGCAATCCCTGGACCAAGACCGAATGCAGACGCATGAAACTTTTCGACACTTGGGATTGGGAGTGCAATAACTTCTTGGATAGTGTAAGTGTCCCCTTTCATGGTATCCCATCAAGAGGGCGAGGTTAAAGCCAAGTACTACTTGTAGAGCTTGCATTTTCCATTTCGACTTCTTGAGTATGGATACAAATAACCTTGAAGTATATTCATACGTTATGAAATAGAGGGTAAGCTAACGCAAATGAATGATGTAGTATGATGCATATTCAAGCCTTGGTTCTGTCCCAAGTGTTTCTCAGACGGCCCAACAACCTGCTGTAGGAAATGTGCAGCCGCCAGCTCAGCAACCTGTGGCCGGCGGTGTTCAAGAAGGCATCTCGGGTGCACCGAAATTCGAGCCCGAGGGTCAAAAAGTAGTTGGCCGAGAGGAGCGAGTCGAGTATCGCGACCAGGATGGTAACATCCTTAACGAGGAGCAGGTGAAAGCACTAGAGGGCAAGGTGGAGTTCAAGACTAAGTACGAAACAAGAACGCGCGTTGTGGACGGCAACGGCAATGAAGTAGAGGTGCCAGTAGATGAGTTAGCGGGCGTTGGCGTGGCACCGCCACATCCCGACGTCCAAGGTGCTGACCAGGAGACCAAGCAGCTAGTCAACGACGATGCCATCCCTAAGGAGGCATCGTCGAGCAAGGATGGCGAGAAAGAAGCCGAAAACTCGGTTCCTAAGCCCGCCAGTGAGGGCAATGAGGCGACCGTCTAATTAGCAGTCTGACTACCTCGGTCTGTCGGTCAACCCATCCCTTAGCTTAATCATGCCCAAGTCTCGTTACAAAACCACCAAAGAGAAAATCCCCACTAGTATTGATTCTTCTGAGATTCTTCTACGCGTCAAAGCATCTAACTTAGGGAGTTGGATGACATCGTTGTCAGCTAGGCTCATGTTGTATTACCACCATACTAATGAAGATGACGGACGATGAAAAGGAAGTTGGGGAAGGCGGAATGCGAACCAAAAGAATTTTGAGGACATTGATGTGGTTGTCCTACGAGGACAACTTAAGCTATCTCAGTTTACCTGCTGATCGCAGACTGTTTCCTTTATAATCTAAAGATTCCACTATGCCTATTGTCTCTTGAATTGCATATCTGCCCAGTATGTATGTTTTTTAACGGCCTGAATATCCGTTCCGTTGATATCCTTTGAACTATAAGAATACTTACCTCCAGGGTTAGGTATGTTTCTACTTTAGTATCGCCTTGAAGATTCGTAATTATGTAGGCTTCAGAGTTAGTAAAGCTCCCTCAACAGACTAGCCAACGTCGCCATATCACCGGCCTGCTGTGCGTCTCTTATATCCCCATTCAGCACCCGCTGTCCCTTGATGGTCTTGTCGCCTACCCCGATGAGTCCGCACTACCATATCCGTCGAGCGCAACGGCTTCCCGGCGCTATTTCTGTGGTACCTGTGGATGCCATGTCTTCCAACAGGGACAATGTGCTATTAAGGATGGGTTGTGGGCTGTAGCTACCGGTGTCATCGCCGGACGGGTCGGTCCAGATGGGAAACTCTTAGCTGATAGACGGGTGGAGGAAGAGCCTATCAGACATGGCACCACAATCAGTGCCTCGTACGATGATGGGTTGGCCCAGTTTGTGGGCCTATTCAAGGAGGAAATGAGTAGACCAGTAAGGCATGATGATCAAGCAGTACCACTGCCGCCACACCCACAGATGCATAGCTCAGCCGAAGAAGAAGGAAGAGCCCACGTCGAGGATGACAACGGGGGCGAGAAGAGCGAAGACGTCTTAGAAGCGCACTGACACTGCAACACCATCCGCTTCCGCATCACGCGCCCCAACGCCTCCAGCCGGCTCCCCCGTTCCCAATTTCCCGGACCTGATGGTGCCATACGCGACCTCGCCGGAAGACTTAATCGCCAACCCGCACGACGGGAAGTGGTGGCTGCGCCCAGCAGGCCACCGAAATCCATGCAAGTACCTCGCCGGGACCCGTTGCCTGCCGCTCCTGTCGCCTGACGGCTGGTTTTGAGACACAGACGTGGGCGTTCGTGCCGAGGGGTAATATCTTCTTTTTACCCTTCCCTTCCTCTCCAATCTCCTCCGTCGCTACTACCACCACTACCACCCCTATCCCCCTCGACTCCAAAAGAGTCCGGGGTAGTGCACCTCAGAAGCTACGAAAGCACCCCCGGCTGCATCCTCCGCGAGTTCTGCCCCCGCTGCGGCGCCCATCGTCTTCTGGCACGATACGTGGCGGCCCGACTTGGTCGGTGTGAGTGTCGGGCTGTTGGTGTTCAGCGCGCTGCGTGAAGGTGGTGGTGGCAGTGTAGGGGCAGAGCAATGGTTGGAGTGGTGGGGTGGGAGGGTTAGCTTTGAGGAGGATGCGGCGATGGGGGGACGGGGGAAGTTGGGGAGTGGGCGAGGAGGTGGGTTGGAGGGTTGGCGCAGGGGTTGAGGGGTTTGAAAGGGGGAGGAGGAGGAGGAGGTGGTGGTGGTGGTGGTGGAAGATGAAGATGAATAAGGGCTCTTGTTGTATCAGGTAGCTCTGCGTACGGATGGATAAAGGAGGCGAAGCTGATCTCGTCTCAGTGGCTTTGCTCTAATAAGACCTAGTACACATCTTATATTCACATTACTCATTTCTACCGACGTCTTGATGGTTAGGTTAGGTTCTCCACTAAGTACGAGATTCAATGCCTTGCTCCACGTAGTTCATAAGGCCACTGGCGCAGGTAGTCATGATATTATATCCAGGCACAAGGGGTCTCGAACCATAGTCAGATTATTGTAGCAAGAACGAGCCTTGGACATCCAGCAAGTTTACATCTTAAGATCAACGTTCACAGAGTGATCCTACTCACGACGCAACCCTCTTAGCCTGGTGTATACATAGATGCTATCGTGACCTTTAAGATACACAGCGATTGCGAAGTCTAAATATGTTACCTATGTAGGTTGATATTGATAACGATGATGTGAATCGCAACAATCCGTCATTCAAACTGGTAGCACATGTGCTGGAGCAACTCGCATGTGCGGTTCTTGAGGCAGTGAAGCTTATTATAAATATTATATGTAGCTAAAGAAGAATTTGGTACCAAAAATATCAATTCGTGTAGCAAAATGAAATAAAAACAAAAAGATTCAGAAGTTGGTCCCAGAGAGGCTCGAACTCTCGGCCTTCGCATTGCTGCCCGATGAAGGAGGACATAACATCGTTGTTTAAGCGATATTAGTACGACGCTCTAACCAACTGAGCTATGGGACCCGGGATGGTTCTTGGATGACTTTGGCCAAGATAATAGCATTTAATACTGAAAGTACCTACCGGTAACTTTTGGGGGGAGAAGAAAAAAAAGGAAGGAAAGAAAAAAGCTTTTTTTTTTTTTTTTCATAAGCGGGCCGGACTTCGGTGAGATTAGATAGGTCTCGAGGCTAGTTGCATCGGGGTAGGATTAGTGCCTCTACTATATAATGTTCCAAGACTCCCAACAACTTTAAATGTACATATAGAGTTATTCTAATGGTACCGCCATACACACACGGGATAAGGTAACTGACAGGAGAGGTTATAAGGAGATACCCCTTTCTTTCATAGCATTTAGCATCTACATCCCCTTAAATTCAATGCTAGGTAATACCTAATCTACCCAAGTAACACTTCCCCAAGGCAGGAACCCCATAAGTAGGAGGTAATGTTACGAGATAATAGTATAGGCTACAACAGAACCAGCCCCCAACTTTCCCCCGAAAACTCGGCTCCGTCCGACACACAACAACAACAAATGTCTCGGACTCCCGTGCCACACGCACACGCAGGTACGACCACGCCACGCCGGGCCCGCACAACTGGGAAAAGGCTTAGGTATATCGTGATTCTGGGAAAGTTGGTCGGAAGGCACGAACTCTGAGAGCGGGAATGAGCCGGGCCTGGCTCCGGGAAGCCCGACATCTCCCGAGTCGCCGGGTCAAGCCGGCAGCGTCACGGTCGGGGTTATTTATGCATGCCTACATCATTGTGCCTTTCTCCCCCCTCCCCCCTTCCTTCTACGATGATCGAGGGTTATGAGAGATCAGAAGACGTAGGTAGATAGCGCATCTCCGTAGTTGATCGCTTGGATCTGCAACGACAGCCAGCATCTATCGTAGGTAAGGTAGGTGGCGCTTCTTTCGACGCTAGCCCCCTCTCCCCTCCCTCCCTCCTCCTCCTCCTCCTCCTCCTCTTCATGCGTCCTTGAACGTTAGACTAGACTAGGTTAGACGAGATATCTCGACGGCAAGTGTATCCCTGCTGAAGGAAGCCCAAGTGCCGTTATTCCGAGTTGAATCCAAACCAACTCCCTTGTGCAACTTTGTCCAGTGTACCGAGGCCATACATACCATACCCAAGCGTTGCAGCAAGAAAAGGGAAACCCACACACCGCAACAACACCAGCAATGCAGGCCTCCTTTCGAAAAGCCACTACTAACCGCGAACTTAACGAACGGGATATGTGTTGACGTAGGGTACAAGCAGGTAAAGTTTAGATAGGCACCGTAGCACCGAGGGACGTCGGAAGTGACACCACCCCATTCCCATCCCCAAGGGAAAAAAATCAAAAAGTAGCGCAACGGTTCCAACGTCGTGGGACAAATAGTAGCCAAGATGGAACAAGCTTTTCACATGCGTCCCTAGGGTTACTCGGCAGAGGTGCCCCGTTACGACCTGTGTAGGTTCTTACCGGTATATGGATGTCTGTCGGCCTGGTGCATACCTACATAGCATTGTACGTAGGTACCTACGTAGATATGTATGCACGCATGTACTACATCATGTATATATATATATGTGTACAGTACGTGGTGGCATGGTAGCTTTGCATGGGGTGACATGGTATTTTGGTAGGGGCAAGTTTTTATCACCAAATAACGGGCCAGGTGTGTGGTAAAGAGAAAAGCATCTAGAAACTAATAAAGCCCCGATGCGTCCGGCTCGAAGAGGGAGGGAGGGATATAATAGCACGTCGCACATTTTGTACACACGCCAGCAACGTTTTTGTGCACGGCATACTATAATACCGCATGACACCCACCCTTGCCCGAGGATACCCAAGGCAAACCCCTATCGGTAAATAGCCGCTCATGAACTATTATAACGAAACCCCAATCATTCTCGAGACTGCGATAGCTCGGCCGGCAAGGAGGGTGGTGAGGTAACGGTTCGGATACGGTCAGTGCTATCATAAGTTACAGAGGATGACAGACAGTGGGATTCGAAGCAAAGTTTCGAAAAAAAAAAAAAGTATGGAAGACTTCGCGAAACATTATCCAGACTAGGCCTGGGACTGACATACCTGACACGGGAAATAGGTCACACATGTCCCTTTACCCCCCTGATCATCCGCCGTCTCTCAATGCACGCCAGCCAGCCCTCTCGCCACGCTTAGCCCTAGGCCGAAAATCTTACACGCATTGGAGGTGGAAACCCGCGATACGGCGACTAAGAGATGGGTGAGTTCGTACTTAGAAAGGGCTTACTAACGTAGCCATCCTCCAAGAAGAATTCCTCGCCTTATGATCTACGCTTCTCTGCAGTCGGTCCCGTGTCTATGTTATGCACATTACGTAGCTCTGAATATAAGCACACCTTCTACCTGCTCTGCCGTTTTTTCCGATATGCGGCTCTTTTTGAAATCTGATTGCCAAGGCGCTGGGCATCTTGTGAATGGCCGTCTTGCAGGCTGGGCACCAGAGATTCGGGGGCTTAGGGGACGGGAACCTGACAGAGCCAAGAAAAGTCCCGTTCAAATGCCTTTCCCGGTAGTTTGTAACGTCGTTATGGCTACGTAGAAGCAGGACGTCAATACCGCGCTTGGTACCTCATTGCAGCAGCTGTCGTCCATGTAGCATGTATCTATGTAAGTAGAGGGATATCCTACGTGGGAAAGCATGCGAGCGTGTGATTGCAGATAGGATATCATGTATGGAGAAGGGCGAAAGATGACCGATCCTGTCTCTCTCTGACCTAGCTGCCATCCATCCCTTTGCCGCTAGGTCGTAGCCTACTAGATAGTCATGGACAGTACTATGCTGCTATGCGCAAGTGATACCAAAAGCGAAGCGATACTAATTCGGTTTTTGGAAAGCCGGAGAAAGACAAGGGCGACAACCCCCATTCTTCTAATCACCGCGTTCCCCACGTACGCCAAAGCGAAGTAAGGTAATGAACTGAGATTTATCCATGTCCGGTCTAGTTGTATTGGTGCGTGCTACGATCACCGCCGAAGGAAAGCCACGGCCTTAAATCGACGAGGTCTAGAATGTTTCGATTCCCGCCACAATGCTTAATGGTAGGTCGTAGTGTATCTGAATGTTGCCGATGTAATGAATCGGATATATGAGATATGCATATATGTATGTAATATGCTGTGTGCTGGGTACGCAGTTCCAAAAGCCACTCTTCGTAATGGACCGCCAATTAACTCATTCAATGCCCGGGTAGTAAGCAGATATATTACCAACCTACTTGCCTACCTGGCATGTAAAGAGATAACCTTCACCGGCCTTCGGCTTTGCAGATAGATGTAGGTAAAATCCCATGGACACGGCGGGCACGAATCAGACGAAATGGCCCCGCTAACAAAGAAAGAAAAGGGAAGACGAAGCGGCAAAAGCGGCAACGATGGCGGAAAGAGGAGGAGGATTGCCCAGTAGTACCAACTATGTAAGTACATCTGTAGTAGCTTATAGTAGCTTATAGTAGCTTATAGGAGAGCTGTTAGCCGGGGCCTGCTTACGTATCATCGGTGCCGAAAGGCGGCAGTAGGGGGTGGAAGTACTGAATAGACTACTGATAATCATCGACAATCATCGACAATCATCGAATGTTGTTGAAATCCTTTATCTTCTTGAACATGAACATGTTGTCGCTATTAGCAATCATGTTGAATACACATATGTACAGAACTTACAATGCATTGTATATACAATTATACATTGTATACATTGTATACATTGTATACATTGTACACACGGAAACACAACCTGTCCATGTTCCGACAGGCAACTTAGGTCTTGTAGGGTTAGTCTGTACTGTGTGTGTATGGATGGATATACATATGTAACTATTTGCATGTAGTTAGTTATGTAGTAATGTAGTAAAGTGGACAAGATGAAGAGATGAAGGGATAAAATAAGTTGCAGTAACCTTTGAAGCTCAATCAATGATTTGTCTCAGGGTTCCCCCCAGGGCCCCCACATGTTGCGTGCACATGTTCAACTTGTTAACCCCCCCTTGCCCGCAGTGGGCCTCTTTCTGGATTACCGTATCCGGATACTGAGCTACTCACGCATAGGCAGATGAAGGTTATCATTGGTTGATCAGATCACCAGGGTCCAGCTTTCAATTTCTTCTAAAGTTAGTGCGGTATCCATGCAGGCTGCAACCCTAAGATTGTATTGTAGTTACAGTACGTACAGTACGTACAGTACGTATAGTATCCAGTACTTTACATAGTAGTTCGTCCAATCGTTCACGTAAGAAGCAGGTAATGCATCATGCAAAAGCTCTGCATTTGCGAAAAGGCTTGTTTTGGCTTGGCTGCGACGCTAGACACCGTTAACGTGGTAATTGTAAGCAGTCAAAATGGTAAAGAGGAATTACAACTTCAATGTTTGAACCCGCAGAACAAAAACTGTGCAAGTACATCGTAGTTAGTTACTTGGTAGCGTCAAATGACGAACCGCGCTATTATAGGTAAGCTTTATTAGCTCTGACGAACAATCGACGCGAGACGCCGATGCCGAAACACACGTACGCGCTAAGTGGATACATCTATCATGTACCCATCATCTATGGACACCTACAGTGACCTACTAGGTACTATGTAGGTACAATACATAGATCTTCTTGAATGTAAACATTGAAGGCCTGGGATTTACAATACATCTTCAATGTTGTATAACTTATGTAGGATGTAGATAAAATAGTATCAAATATTATTTTACTGTGTTACTGTGTTACTGTGTTACTACTAAGGCGTTTAAGTGTAACTACGGCGTAGTAACCTGTGGACAAGGTTATCAATCGTACATCAAATTACGCCACTAAAACGATCTGTGTGCCTCGGAGACATTGGATACCTACATACATAGGTAGTTATGCATAGCATCAATATACATTACCTACATGTATATGGTAATGTTGGCGGGGAACATTGAACGCTTCTTACATAGGCACTTGGTCAGATAACTTGCTTGTTTCATTCATTCATGTCTACCAGCTACATAGTAGATAGTAGTACCAAGTAATGTTTGAGCTGAACCTGACAACTTCAGTCGCACAGCGTGGACTTGTGTACAGTCAGGTCAGCGCGCACATATATACATTAACATTCAACTTCAACTCATCAAGACCAATCATGGATCGAATGTCGTCGCCGACTTCTTATCACTAGAGTAATAATCACCCCAACCTCATTGGGCTGAAGTTACACTTTGTACCGTGCCATCCACTGCTCAGGTTTTTTTTATAAAAAAATTCAACAATGATACCACCACCCGTGAATGTTAATGCAGGTAACCGTGAGCGTCCTTTGTACGACAACTCAAATGCTTCAGACGCAAGGGAATATGATCAAGGGAATAAGCGAACAAAGAAAGAACCTCGCCTTATATAGTGTCGGCACTGGTGCTAATGAATCCATGACTGCGTCGTGAGAAAATGCAAACCGCAACGACAAGCCCTATGCCGCCGCCTTGCCCTAGGGATATCTCCGTTCAACGCCAGTGTATTGACACATATCGTAACCTTAAACCCCTATAAATTATATGCAGTAGAAGGGAGGAAAAGAAGCAGGGTATCACAGCCCTGCGTACTAGGCTATTACTGGTTGGGTCCCCTTAGTAGCCAGGCTTGCCGGGCATTGGGGGTAGCCCATGTCCTGTACTTAGAGGAGGTAGATGGTTGTGACAGAAGATCTTGCCTGTACTAGACTTCATGCAGTTCTTCTTGGAAGCGTCGATGAACTTCACTGGATCCTCATAACTCTCCAGTTGACAGCACTCGACATTCTTCATCCATCTGTTTGTGACCACTTCGTTCATGGTAATGCGTTGCTGTGGGTCGGGGTTCAACATTCGAAGGAGAAGTCGACGGAGAGCGAGAGGCTTGACGCAAAAGTCAAACGCGCCTACTCTAGGATAGGCATCCTTGGCTACGCTTTCAGGATTTGCTTCTCTCTTGGCATTTATTCGTTCCCAACCAGCCACAAGTTCATTGTACGTCTTCTGGTTTGGCGAGGTTAAGCCAGCTTGTGCCTTCTCCCATAAGTTCGCATTGAAGGTGAGATAGAGCATGACAATTGCTGAACTCCAGACGTCGAGGGGGCGGGGGTCGTAGTCCACCTTCTTGCTAAGAACCTCGGGTGCGATATAAGGAAGACTGCCACAGATGCCAGGCTTGCATAGCCGAACATCGCCCATGGCAATTCCGCACTGACCACCAGCCTCGCGCAATCCAGGATGTATACCCGAGAATACCTCCGACACGCCGAAATCAGTAATCTTCAACTTGCTGTCCTTTGTGATCAATAGGTTCTCGAGTTTGATGTCGCGATGCGCAATGCCATTCGAATGCAAATAGTTAATTCCTTGGCAAAGTTGCTTGAAAAGACATAGGCGGTCCACATCGCGGGCCTCTTCTTTAAGATATTGTTTCGAGACGAGAGTGAAGAGGTCGCCCTCGGAGCAGTACTCCATCACGTGATTCCAACGGCCGTGATCTGTGCATAGGCGGATGGTCTCGACAATGTTGGGGTGATGCAAACTTTTGGCAATGCTGTATTCGGACTTGATCTTTTTCTCGTAGTCGTCGACAGTCTCAGAGGAGCTTTTGGATCGGAACTCCTTAACGGCATACAACTCTCCAGGACTGCCCTTGCGCACCATCAAAGTTACCTTAGAGGTTGCGCCTTTACCCAAATGCTTTCCATGTCGGCCCAAGAATTTGTGCTGATATTCATACTCCTTCATTAAATCTGCGACGTCCACAGTGAAGTCATCGGGAAGACTTAGACTCAGTCTTCTGGCCTTCATGCCAGTGCCGGCATCCGGAGGGATCGCCCATGGCTGACGAGTCAGTTCTTGGTCATCCTGCTTCTTCTTCTTCTCTACACTCCGTGTTCGCCGATGAGAGTGGTTCTTATTCGATGCAAAACCTACGACCCTGCTGCGGAGATAAAGACCAGTATTTGACCTGGTTTTCTTGTTGTGGTTTGTCAAAAAGTCGCGCGACGTAGGGATTGACACGCGATTGGACTCATCCTTGGAATTGGAAGCTGATTCCTCTGGAGAGCCAGGCGATGGTGGGGTGTTAGATCTAGTCGTGATAACTGACCTCTGATAAGAGAAGCGGCGACGGCTAGCGTTGGGTGTTATCCTATTGGCGGAGGAGAGGGTGGTTTCAGAGGAATCCGCATTGTAATTGGGCTCCTTAAACTCCGTGGTTGCACCACCGTTGTCCCCCACGTGGAAACTGTTGCGCTTGAATATCGACATTGCTTTGGACAAAGCAGAAGACGAACGTCGCTGAATAAGACGAAATGGTATTGACGGACGTCGTCCTGTTTTGGGCCGGTAATCTTCGGCTTGCGCGGTGAGGAAAGGATTTAATAGTTCATGAGCGGGCTGCGAAGGCACAGGCGCAGATGTGTAAGTAGTTGGTGAGGGTTGAGAGATGTGGGTTTGTGAGGAATATAAAAGATCGGAATGTACAATGTCTTTATTGACGACTGTTAAGGTAACGTCGGGGTGATCTGGAACACCCGACGTAGAGGCGACTAGAACATTAGTAATGGAATCACGACGTTGATATGTATCGTTCTGATCACAATATCGAAAATCCCGTGATTGTCTCCCACTGACTGGCGTAATGGGCTCGTTTGAGTATGATTCACTACTGGTTTCTTCGTCGCCTTCTTCGGGAATAGGACTGGTGGGGTCTATAGGATAACGCCGAAGTGACTCAATTGGAGTTTGGTTTTGGTTGTGAGTGGATGAAGAATAGGTGGAACAAGAATTACTAAGTGACAGAGAAGAGGGTGACGGAGAGATGTCTGTAGTATCTGCACTGTCTGAAGTATCCGCAGTATCTGCAGTATCTGTAGGGAGGAACAAAAATAATTAATTTTATTGGCAAAAGTCAAGAGGGAATGAATGGATGGATGAATGAATGAATGAATGGGTGGATGTTGCAGGTTGCGGGTTGCGGGTTGCGGGATGCGGGATGAAAGGTGAGATTGTGAGATTGTGAGATTGTGTAATTGTAAAATTGACATACCTGATGGAACTGTCCAAGAAAATGACGAAAGTTGGGTCACACAAGGATCAGTAACATCAGCAGCAGCAGCAATGCTAACTGCTGTTGTGGTGGTGGTGTTAATGTTCTTGTTATGGTTCTTGTTCTTGGTAGAAGAAGAATGAGCTGAGGCGGATGAATGAGAGAGCTGTAAAGGCTGTAAAGGTTGTAAGGGCGGCGAGTGCGAGGGTGAGGGTGAGAGCGAGGCCGATGACATCGCTACAGCCAGGGTTTGGGTCTGGATTTGTGGGACCGTCATTGTTAATAAGATTGATTGGTACTAGGTACTGTTTGGTACGGTAGGTACAAGGTACAACAGTACGCACTGGTACAATGAGGAAAAATGGAGATCCAGAAGTTTGGCAGGGCCTGGCAACAAGGCACTAGGGCTGGCTTGCAACGTTAGAAACCCTTTTAGTTCAGGGCAATTGACTGGCAACCTAGGGGGGAAAGAAGGCCGGTCGAGGGGGGGAGAAGGAAGTAGGAGGGGGGTTAGGTAGTAGTGTCTCGCTGATAATAGTAACTTTCCAAGGGTCCAGTAACAAATTAGGGCCGCTGACCAAAAAATGGCTGGGACCGATAGGACGTATGGAACGTTTCTGACGGGTACTCTTTTTTTCTTTCTTTTTTTTTGGGTGAATGGCTCGAATCTCGTAGCGTTATTTTCCGCGTAAAGCGTCACAGAATAACGCTAAGATTAGGTTAGGTTACTGAAAAAAGGGCCTGAAAACGTAGATGAACTGCTGATGGATTGTTCCGGCCAAAACAAGCACACCACCAAGCTAAAATATCATTAATCCTTCTATCCTATAACCCTCTGAAAAAGTCTTAGACCCTTTTTTTCTTTCTTCTTTTATCAGCGAGGTCAAGATGCCCAAAAAAGTTATTAGCGCCTTGTTACGCGAACGAAGCAATTCGTCCCAGACCAATAGATGGTCAGACCAGCAACATGAACCTGGTAGAGAACCTTGGAAGAGAAACCTGGAAAGCAATCCTCGGTTAGTCGGTAGTCCGGAGTCGCTTCGGTCGATTCGGGTTTGCGATGACGTTTTTCTTTGTTCTTATTTTTCTTGTTCTTTTTATATCTTTAACCACTAGATACTACAATACCACACTACTACTACAGCACCACTAGTTATAGTAGGTATAGTAGATATAGTAGATATAGTAGATATAGTAGATATAGTAGATATAGTAGATATGGTAGATATGGTAGGTGGGTAGACAACGGACTGAACTAGACTGGACTAGACTTCAACTGGATATCGGAGATTTGACAGCTGATAACAAGACCGCCGGCGGCTTTTTGAGATGATCGCTAGTAACGCCGGGAATACCAATATGTACTATAGGTAGTAGCCGGTCTTTCTTCGTTTCTCGGATATCTCGAACTAGTTTCGTGCAACTAAGTATGCAAGCCCAGCATGCCCCGGGGCCTTGGACCTGTTGAAGTGGACGAGAACGGGAAAGAGAAGAGAATATTTCTGCAAAGTCCTCTTGGCTGCTCCTGTGTTCTTCGAATGTTCGGTGCAGGTGGTCAACGGTTTTTGGTGGGTGGCCGTGGTTTATATGTGGTCTGCGGTATAATGTCGTGATTGCACAAGGGCGTATAGCTCTTATACAAGGTCCAGGAGATCTACTTGGCCTGGATGCCAAGGCAGGAAGGGCAGGAAAGAGAAAGAAAAGAGGAAGAAGAAGAAGGGAAAGAGGATAGATCCGTCCGGGAAGGGGACAGGAAGACGATTATAATAAAGTTAAGGCTGAAGCATCCAACATGGTAGTGACCATGTGTGTCTCTGTAAGTCAGTGCTGTGGGCGCTTGGTTGATCTTTGGCCAAAGTTGTAATGTGTATGCGAGCAACCCACTACTACGGTACCCTGGCTCGCCGGTAGTGGAAGTGTAAAAGCGCGAGGTGTTTTAAGTATCTATACTATACAGTATGATAGTGCGACAGATACATGCGAAAGGAGAAACCAAATCCTGCACAGCTAGCTGCATAGGACCCTGGGGATGGGGCTAGATGAAGCGGCCTGCAGGAAAACGTGATGTGTGTCCCAGTCAGGATCAAACTCAGGCTTGAGCATGGGGTTGGTTATGCTAGGGATTTGCTCTTTTGCGCGTATAAGTTAGGAAGGGTGTAAGTGGCAGCCGGAGTGGGTAGTACAGCACGAAGCGTGGGGAGAGAGAAACAGAGCAAGAGAGAAAGGGGAGAACGTTAGGTGGACTAAAAGAGAAGACCCAAGTACCGACTTCGAACTTTAGAGGGAAATCTAGAAGAGAGGAAAAGACTCAAGATGGCTGTTTTATCTTTTTTTAGGGGTCTACGAGAGATCTGAGATACAGATAGGTGCTACGTGCAAATCTCGGACTTTTTCAATGCACTTGGCATACATAGGTAGTCAACATCACTAGATTCACTACATACTATGGTACATACTATGGTAGGTATGTAGTGCTTCTTGGTATTGACCGTTGACTCTGGCACGCTGAAGATCTGCTTTGCTTGTAGTAGACGGTAGGAAATGTGTGCTCAGTAATTGCGCGGCAAAATCCATGCGGACCTTGGCAGATTCAAGTGTCAAATACTGTGCTGTACATAGCTAGTATAACTAACTAATGCTGTATTGTTACTATTGTACAATACATAACTAACCTCGTATGTAATAGTAGCATGGTAATCGACAAAATAACTAACTTTATACATGTAATATTAACAATCCTGCCCCCGTGCTAGGTACGGTACGAGTTATACAAAAGTTTGGTAGTATATTTGCGTGAATCGGTGGTCAGAATGGAGAAACGTGAGATTACGGCCCTGACTACTGCATAATAGTTCAGCACAGCTTGCATAGCCTAACGATGCTACATTGCTACCGCATACCTCCTAGTAAAACGTAATCAAAGCGCGATTAGAACGGCCGGTACCCCAAGACGTATTGTATACATCCGAGGAACACCACCGCGGCGGAACGGGGGAAATGTGGAGGTGACAATTCATGGCCTATTCAAAGGCGATACCGTTCTCTATTCGCTATTTCCAAGTCCCATTTTTCATAGTCGTCTCTTGGGTCCTTGGAGACCCCAGAGAGCCCCAGCTTAGACCTATCTACTATTGTATAAGTGGACAGGCAGAGGGCACTATTCCCAATTCTAACACCGGGATCAAAGCCTCTTCATAATTTTATGCTCGATGACAATTTTATAACAGTAATGGGAATCAATGATTGATTTACGACGAGAGCTACGAGACCGGACGTCTAACACAGTAATACTTGCATGCTTACAAGGATCTAAGGTTGTTTATTAACTTCAGCCACCTTGCTTGGAAGGGGGTCTATCTAATACTATGTTTTCAAGCCTATGTAGCACTGTATGGTATTGTACAATACACATGAAGATATAATATTGTATGAATATAGATCCCTGGCTAACTGTTTGGCTGTGTTTCTCTAACCTTATACCAATTCTTGTCATACGTGTTATGGCATCAATGATGGACTTTGCTGGCGTTCGCTAACTAGCATCTCAACGTTGAACCCCCATATTTACAGTTTTACATAGGGGTAGTGTAGACTGTGTAGGTGTATGTACTTGTATTGTACAACGCATACAATTAGCGCTTGAATACCTAATGAATAATCCTTCCAGCAGTAAGGAATTCGTAATACCTAAATTTCGTCACCGATCATTTACGTGCCGTACTGCCTCGTCGACGTGGATCACTTAGAGTACATTCCTGACTGATTCGTTGCGGTGCGGTGTTCTGAACTGCAAAGTCATTAAACGATTTCATTAGTTATTTCTTGTCGGTCTTGTCATGCTTGTGACCTACCGTAAACCGCTTCGCTCCTTTTCATCGATATCTCTTCTAGAAAATCTGAAGCTAAGCCCCCAGGCTGACCCGTTACACAACCCATTCGTTTCAAAGCCAAGAGAGCTCGTGTATCATTCACACACCTACGATGGGAATCTGGTCAAGAAGATTATAAAAGCACGCGTACCTAACTACGTAACCTATATGCCGGTCTTAAATCTTCTTGGCTGTGTAATGAGTATTCAGTGTCGTTCTACCGGGAAGAGAAACATTGGCAATACCAAGAACCGCTCATCAATTAACAAGTTCAGTCCAAGAGCTTGGCGAGTACATTCAATCCAGCCAACTGTCGCCCTTCCTTTACCCGCCAAGGGTCGAGGGCTTTTACTTCCACCATTAAAAGAATGAAGTGTACAAATGTAGCAGTTGACGCTAATAATAATAAGTGCGCTTCCTAGACTTGTAGGGTTTGGCGCGAGACGCAGACGCCATCGTGTTGATCGTGTTAAAGAACCGCAATTGCCGGTCGTTATGTGATTAGGCATGCCCCTGATGATGTAAGTGCTCAAGAAGTTGGTTACTGAGTAAGTAAAGGACCATCCATCCAGATTCCATAGCTTTTGCGACAAGGTCTATTCATTGATCATTCATTTGCCCCGTGGAGTTTGGTCTTACAGAAACAAACATCATACAATGTACTTGATTGGAAGGGTGATACAAGCCGGCATCTGGACCTCTCACAAATTACTGTATGTGTGTGTGTCATTTCTTGGATAGACGCTCTGTTCTGTATGAGACAACATCTGAATCTATGGAGCATCGAACGCAATCGGGTCGGAACCCGAAATCATATTGCGAACATCTATCATGTTGGCGCATCTACCAGATATTCCGATCGACTTTTTCCGCAAGTTTGCCAAGGCCCGGTGATCATCTCTGGCTTGATGCGCCCAGCATTGGCAAATCTATTTGATTTTTAAGATAATCTTAAGATAATTATTCTTTTAGATTTACATAGACGCGTCCCTGAGCTTGCGTCTGCATTTTCATATTGGTAGTTGTTTCTCTCGGCCACGGTCCATTACGTACCTACCTACCCAACGGAGGTTCGTTAGGAAAATGTGACATCAACCCGAGTCGTCTCCGAGGCGGCAACGTTATATGATGTGTTGTCACCCGCTCACGTATCGCCGCGTTCGCTTCCTCCATGACTTGCCTACGTAGGTACCTACTTATGCTATGCTAGGTATGTAACCTAAGGTTAGTAGTATTCCACTGGCCAACCCTACCGGCCATATTTCAGGTTGACAATAAATTGCGGCGTCCATTGATGATACTCTGAATCTACCTAAAGCAATTTCCTGGGACCAATATCCTTCCCTTCACAGTTGGATTAGACATCACTGCAGTATTTTTCGGTATTGGGTTTATAGCTTGTCTCCTG